ACCAAATTTTGGGTGAACAAATGTGTATATAATATGTTCCAGGATGGTTATCAAATCAGGAGTGCCCTTCATAGAGCTGCGGTTTTCTCAAATTTTTAATAACTTAAATCATTTTTATAACACTCATTTTTTCTTTAATTCTGAAAAACCTAGGTACCCCTGTGAATAGTTTAGCCAGAATTTATCTAAGCCTGGAGATTTTACTCATAGATAGCAGAATGGTTTATTACTCTATTTGCAAAATCTAGAGGCTTACATAATATTGTTTTGGCTAAAAACTAAACCGATTTTAAAAATCGACTTAAATTGACTACATATTAATTTTGTAAAATTCTGTTAATAAAATATATAAATTTATTAAATAATGAGTAGTTTCAAAAGTTCTTGGCATAATTCTCTGATATTTACAAGTGATTTGAAATAAGATTTCGGCAAAATCAGGTCTTACTAAAAAATTCACTCGCTCTAAAGGATTTAAATTTTAACTTTAAAAAAAAGCCAGATTTTTAAAACCCTTACGAATAGAGTAAAACCTCGTTTATCATTAACCTACGAACGGAAGCTGAAAATTTAGTTGGCAATTGCGAAAATAATCTACTAATTTAAGACAGATTTTTTTAAAATTAAATTCCAACTCTAAATAATATTTATATAATATAATTTAAATTTCAATCAAACAAACAAATTCAAATACTTGTAGGGAAATCAATTATTAACCTTTGCTTTTTTTACTGAAGAAAATTTTAGAATACTCATTTCTATTTTATCATGAGCCCACGCAGGAGGAAGCAGATGTACTGGGAAAAAAATTAGACATAATATTTTTATAAATTCGCATTTTTATTTTAGAAAAAAGAAGAAATGATTTCATTTAAATAACCAAATGTAAATAAATTCCCAATATATAAGTATATGTATGTGTAATGTTATTTGGTATTATTTTAATAAAAAAATAAAATTAAAAATTGTGAATTCCTGTCTTTAAATTGTTCTTCGTAAACTTTCTGAACAAGAAATACTAAATCAAACTAAATCAGGTTAAAAAAATAGTGATAATATTGAATTGAAAAAGAGGGCAAAAATGATAAAAGTTTTAATAAACCAAAAAAAAAAAAATTCAAAATTAAAAGGTAATATGGTTTGCTTTAAAATTTAAAATATATTCATTTATAGATTAATTTAATATAGATGAAATGATATTATCATATTTTTTATATTTACGGTAGCAAATGATAGAGTTTGAAGCAGGTTACGAAAATAATATGCTGATGATGAACATGAGAATTCTATGTAAGAATTTTTTCAAACTCAAAAAAAATTTGTAGTTCATCAAAAAACTTAATAAGATACATATTTACTTATTAATCCGATCGATAAAGGAATACATAAGAATTATTACAAGATGAACCTTTTTAAATCCATCAAGCCAAACTCTTACAATTACTTTATCTCTACCAATTAAATTGAAAGTAGTTTTAGTACAATGGTATTAAAAATTATCTTACAACAATGCATGATGAGGGATTGTTATAATTATTCATTACTAGTATCCATCTGGCTCAAATCTTGGACAAAGAAAAATTTTTCTAGGACATTTTAGCAATATTTTCGCAAAAACCTGAGAAATACAATTAGCATTTGGCGCGAATTTACATAACTTGTCTATAAAATTTTATTTTAAGAATGACAATAAATCCGTTTAAACAAGATATAATTTTCCGCATCAACTTTATCAGGGGACAATTATGTTTTCCTTAATCCCCTAGGCTAAATATCTGGTTTGCAGGCATTAGTGAGATTGTCATTTGGTCAGAGTATTTCGGGTTTGATTGAATTTTAGCGTCATTTTGCGAATTAGCTTCAAGAACAGCGCATTCTAAGCTGATATTTCCTATCTTCAGGTATCATTTTCTTGCCAGTATTCATTATGGAAGTCGATCTTAGAGAAGTATTTCCCGAAACAGGTTATATTGGACCTCCACTATCCACGGATTTGCCTCACATGAAAATTCACGCACAACTGTAATTCAACTGTTGCTCACTAGAATAAGAAACGTAACCCACTTTAGGTTAAATAATATGGTAATAGTAACGCTTTTATAAAACCATCTGACCATTTCCTCAAATACTTCATCTTTCAATTCAAAGGGTACGCGCTAAGAATAGCAGATTCGAACTTAACCGTCCTTTAGCTGCAGCTTAGTGCAAATGAGAGTATTTTCCCAGTAACATTTCACGCAAATTCAAAGGAGAGGAAAAGTTTCATAATTTCTAAGAAGTTATATTTTATGCAAATATCTGAGAACGAATGAGAGATTATGAGAGATAGAACATTGGTTTTAGCGTAGCCAGAAAAGCGGATTCAATTAAAAATTTAAAGTGTTTTTATTAATCTTTTTAAACCAATAAAATTAATACTCGTGACCCCTTTAGAAGTTTATAAAATAGAATTAGGAAATTATCTCAAAATATTTATTATGTTTTAAGCATTCCTTTTAAATATTGCGCATTAACTTTGATAATTTAATTATGTATCTGTTCTTAATGTTGTAGTAATATATTGTAATATACTGTAATATACTAATTATACATTATGAAATATTGTATTCTATGAATTATACTTATGATTTGTGAAATTATCTCAAATATTATTAATTTTAGTCATTGAATTCTGATAAATTAAATACTTATCTATTTTATTACAAAAAAAACAAAATTGGTTATAAAATCTTACCTAAAACCTATTCTTGCTTTTTTGAAATTCATTTTTGAATTGTGATATTCAATTGAGCAAAAAGGAAAGATAAAAAAGAAATATAATATTTTTCAGACCTGAACTTATATTTTAATGACAGTGTTATGGTCCGTTAGGGTCAATCCATGAGCCAATCATGCAAAAGAAGGTGTTAAATCAGAGTATGAAAGAGATTACCTATTAAGAATATATTATGAAAGCAATGTAACATAGAACAGTAGGGGTATCTAATTGATACCTAATATAGTGGTTTAAAAAACCTGTTTAAAATCGAAAATAGATTTGAAAATAGTACGTTAGCAAAGGGGTTTGATAATTATTCTTTTTTTATAATCCTGAATATAATTCTTGCTCGAGATGCAGTGTGGCATAGGGTTTGATAAAAGGAAAGGTAGGAAGCTGAAAATATTAACATTTATTGGGTAAGTAAAGAAATATGAGATGAAATAAATTACAGAAAAAGTGGAGTGTTTTAATTGAATTTGTGCAGATACTAGTAGAGAAGCTGTTGAAATATAAGTCAATTATAAAGAAGGTAAAAGAGACACTATAAAGAGATCAAAGCCCCTTTCCATATGTCTAAACCATCTTAATCTTTTAAATTTGAATCTATTCCTCTTCTTATACACTCCTTATTTTTATATAAAGTAATATACTTTAAGAATTGATGGAAAAATAATAAAATATCTAAAGATTAGTTTTAAAGTTGCCCATTTTTGGTGGAGTAATTCTCTAAATATAATTTAAGTTATCAAGCAAAATACTTTATAATATATACCTATATTTTATTTAAAAAATATTATAAACTGGATTTTTTTGATGGACTATAGAATTGTTGAAGTTTGTGGTATATTATATTTTTGAAAAATTGTGTCAGTTGTTTCTAAAAATAGAGCAGATCTGAAAGACATTAATCTAGGCGAAACCAATAATACTATCATTAAAATGCATTAAAGTGTACATACACATTAAAGTCCACCATTGAAAACACACAGACGAAATGTCTTCTAATGGCGTCTACTGCAGCTGATTTTCTTGTATGACTATTTTTAATAAAATGTCCTTGTGGTAACCAGTCTTATGAGAGAAATTTTTTTGGAGGCAACACACCAGGATTCGATCAAGTACCCAAATTATTTTTAGCCTATCTCCTTTCTATAGACCTACAGCAGCAAAGCTCCCACCTCAGTCCCAACCCAAGTAGATATTGGTGGCAGTTGCAATCCTCTTCTCTATATTTTTGAAATAAATTAATGGGGATTCGCGTCATTGAGATTAAGGGGATAAGGCGGGTCATAAGGTAATTAGGATTAAAGTTAAGAGAGCCTTTGGCCACCCTATTAAACTTTATGAATTTCATAATATTATTATCTAACTTTAACAAAACATAAAATTATAGTCCTCATTGCAAATTTGAGGGACAATTTGTTTTTCACATATTTTATAAATTTACATTCCAGACAAATATGGATGCTTTTTCTTTCTTAAGGATTGCAGAAATTTTTATAAATCCTATAAAGGCAATATGGATAAATTTTATTCAATATAAAAGAATTATGTATAGAAAGTTTAAGTCTCACTCTTGATGGTTTAGTTATATTTTAAGTACTTTCCTTATTCCACTATCCATAAATTATATGCAAAAGAATACACCCCCCCCCCCTTCCCTCACCAGTGTATTTAATTTAAATAATATAATTAATTTTACAGATGTAAATTAAACATTTCGTATTAACTTAAATTACATTCCTTATCAACATCAATTTTTATATTTATTTTATTGAATTGAGGATTTGAAAAAATTTATCATAATATCAATTATCAGTGTGATACCAGCAGATTACAATATAAATTTATCTTTTGATTAATTTTTTTTAAGTTGGTTTATTCATTTACCTCCTATTTCTTTCAATTTTATACTAGTATTTTGTATAATATAGTTAGTATTACCAATTTGCATAAATAAAATTTAAATATAGGGAAAGAATTTCTCTTTGAAGATTGTGTTTTAAACAAATGTTATAATTTATAGAGAATATTTTATTTTTTTCAACCATTTTTACACTTAAGCCCCCCTTATAAAAAGAGATTATTTTAAAAAAATTTAGATAATTTTTCATCATCTCTTTGTAGTCATTTTTCTTCCATAAATTTTATGATAAATGAGAGAAAAAAGAACTTTAACTAAATGTTAAACGCAAAAATAAAATTAATTTTATAAATTTTTATTGTTTTTTCAAATCTAAAATTCCTGTATAATTAAATAAATTTTAATATTCTAAAAATAATATAATTCGGGTATAATATATAATTTTTATAAGTGTATGACTATACTATCACATTAATTTTTATAATAATTTTTGAATCAGAAACTAATAATTATTCTTATTATTATAACTATATATAATTTCAAGATAAATACTCTTTTACAATGATTACCTCGTTGTTAGAAATATACATAATATAATATTTTATAAAGGAGGAGCGCCGTTGGGGTAATTTAGACTGGGGTTCATAGACGACAAAAAGTTGTTTTGGCCCAAACAATTATAATCAGTTTTGGACAGGGGTAACAAACAAGCGAAACCAAGAATAGATAACAATAGAATTTGTAAAGGGATAGAAGCTTTGAGTATACGAATTATCTGACGCCTGTTCCTGTCATTGTTATTTTCCCTTGGTGTATCTTGACTTGATGAAGCATCGATGTTATCGCTCTGATCAACAAGACGTTTATTAAATATATCATATTTTAAAAAATTGTAAATGACTAATTATATATTAAAATCAATTGCGACAACCAGGGATTTAATTTTTATAAAAATTGATTCCACTTATAAATGATAAAAGATAGGGTAAACGACCGATTAAAATATGGGTAAAAAATTTCTAAAAAAATATTTTTTACTCTAAATATATTGGGCCACGTAAAAGATGATGTCCCTGAATTTGTGATATTGTCAGAGGGGTTTTCTAGATTGTCAAGGGCGGACCTGTTCCTTCCAACATTATGTAAGAGCGACCAGATAAGTGAATGTCCATTAATCTTTGATAAAACGTTCTTATAATTAATTATATATATTATAAAATCTATAAATATTATAACCATTACTTTGTATTCATTTGATTCTGTGTTACTGATTTCAGTTTCTGATGGTAATAGGTATTTATTCTTTAAATTCGCCAACGTCTGAAATAATTCCTTTCGAGCAAAAAATAATAATATTGCAAATACAAAAACAATATATTACAATTTTTACTTGAAATGGTGAAGCTGGGGGAGAATCATCACTGATATCATTATTCTCAAAATCCTTCTTGGATAATCCTAGAATATCCAAATCCTTCAATCTTTCGCCAATAGTTTTAACTATTATGTCGTACTTTCTGCCATGAAAGGTAAGAAAAACATTTTTAAAAATTCCAATTATTAATTTAATCAATATTTTTTAATTAAAAAAAAGTTTTACTTAACATGCATGAACCTTTTATAAATAAATTGAAGAAAATATATAATCGCACTGAACTCTTAAAATTATCAGAACCAAAATTTGAATAACACAAAATAAAAACAAAAATAATTAACCTGGCTAAGTTGCGTTTTAAATTATCAACATCTCGCGGCATTTTAATCCTAAAACGCTTTAAATAAAGATCGGGGGTTTCTAGTACATCCCTAACCGCAACGATATTTTTGCTAAGAGAAATTAATTGAGACAAAGACTCCTTAGCACTTTCTACATCGAATGAGCTTGTGTTAGCATTAGAATTTGAGCTCGATAAGGTTTTATGGAATTTCAAAAAATCTTGATCTTCTTTTTTTTGCAAAGCAGAACTTTCTAAGGCTTTTTGAAAAGCGAGTCTAACCAGTGAAAGTGTTGAATCGGCAGTATCCATTAGCTTTAGGGACAAGCGACTGAGATCTAACTCATTTAATTCGTTCGAATCAGAAAGAGTTTTGGGACTTATGGATGGGAGACTATGCAAATCGGGGTCAGTTTTGGTTTCGCTGTGAAATAGATCGTCAAAATTATTGTACAAATTACCCATATTTTGACTTTTAGCTTTACTTGAACCATATTTTTCAATGAGGGGTGTGAATTTGAGCTTGTCAAAGAGACGATTTTTTAAGGGTTTAAGTAAATGACTTTCTCCTTGGGGAATATTGTGTTGGGGTTGTTTATTATCATAAGTATCAACAGAGGGCTCATCATGAGACACAAATGGAAATTTATGTTGAATGGAGAAAGGAGATAATTGAGTTGATATTTTGTCTATCATAGTGGGATTGATTATGGAGGGAAGTGAGGATGGAAATGTCAAGGGCGAATTTGGGGATGATAAGGGTTGACTAGAAGCACCTGAAGAGGAGATGAATGATTTGTCGGGTGAGTCACGACTTTGGGTTGATTTTTCTATACCCTTGATATGTATAATGTATTAATTATAAAAAGTATAGTATATTTGCGGTTACGTGTCGATTTTCTGGTCAAAAACGACCCACCACATGTGGAGAAAGGGTGTATTATGACAGAGGCCCTTCCTCGTATAATAATGCCGTTTTTTTTACATCAAGGGTACCAACAAACTTTGTCCCAGATCAAGTATTATTAAGTATGATTCTAAACGCTTCCATTTTTTACAATAAACTAACACTATATTTAATTTTTTTTTAAAGAATTTGAAAGCCGAGTTTAATTCGCTGAATACCATTAACGCAAAGTGCAAATAAAGAATCCAGAATGAAATATATATAAAATATCGATAATGAAAAATGATAGGGCAATATTGGATCAAGAATGATCCTTCAACTAAACAATCCTAAGGTATATGCGAATGTAACGCTTATAATAAATTATTATGTAATATAATGGTTTAAAAAATCTTTACTTTGATCTTAGTTTCAATATTGCTCAAGGCATTGTCTAATAATTTCCTCAATTGAGCGTATTGCTGAGCCAAGGTCTGATATTGTTCTAATTTAATTGACAATGGCTGTTGGTCCTTTGCTTCATTAGTAAAGAAATAATCGTCGTTATTGATGTCTTCCATATCGGAAATTAGTTTTTCGGCGTGGGCTTTGAGTGCTTTCAGCGAATCCAGATTCGAACTAATGGGTTTTAATTTCTTTTGCCCGATCAAAATATCTTTGGCATCATTTTTAAAGGCTTCCACACGTTTATGATTATCTTTATACCGCGTTACGGTAAGCTCGGTGTCTTTCAACCTTTTCTGTTAAAGGTATTAAAATATTTTAAAAAATAAGAATAATAACCAATTTTATGAATGATATTAAATAGAGATTATAAGATCCAGAATGCGGTACCAGACCTTTCTTATTAGGATCCAGGTTATTCTATTAAAATGATAGGTTCTATCGAAATGAAGGTAGATTCTATTAAAATGACGGATCTATCAAAATGGCGTTTTTTTAAAGTGTACAATAATATTTTGTTATTGCCCGATTTTTAAAAATTGGTCAAGTCGAGCTCTTTTAACAATTAAACTTTAACACACAAAAAAATAAAAGTATTATACATATTTTTTTATGATGAATAAAATTTTCTAATTAAATTTATATTATAAGTATAAATTTTATAAAATCTGGTGCTAGTAGGCATTTATCTAGAATTTAAAAATAGATCCGACCCTATAACGGTAAAACATATTGGATCCAATGGAATTTCTAATAATAAACATATTTTACAATCAGATAAAAGAGAAAGGCAAAGAAAGTGTGGTATTCAGGAAGCCCGAAAATATTTTTTTTATAAACATCATTTTTTAAAAAAAAAGAAATACAATATTTCAATTATACTTCAAAATAATTTAGATGCGATTGGATAATTTTTCTGAGATTTGCAATCCTATCATCGTAAATTCCATGTAATGGCGGAACTTCGGTGATTTGATTTTCCATTTTGTCTAATAAATTTTCAGCAAAAATAGTATCTTCGTTTTCTAGCTAAAAAAAATGTTAAAAATAAAAATAATTTCTGTAACAATAAATGATCAATCAACTCGAAGGAATTTGATTTATTTTTTGGATTTAAATTGAGGATCAAAAAATATAAAATAAAAGTTTGATTGTATCATAATTATGAGAAATAAATATTTATTTTGTAAATAAATCATATACCAATATTTTAGCCCGGTAATTCATTAAATTGTCCAGAGTTTTGATTTGAATAGGTTCGAAGACGGCTTTTTGTGTATAAGCTACGAAATGTTGGTCATGTTTAGCGGAAAGTAAAGATTTCTCAATTTTTGCCAATTTTTTATCGATTAAAATCTTTATGAGATCCAAATATTCTTGCGTATCAGAGTTCATATCCGAAAAGGCTTGCTTCAACCTATAGGAATAATCATCTAATTCCTTTATCACACATAAAACGCTAGGATGTACATTCATTTTTTTAGCTGCAGAATCTGCTTCAGGTTTAATCCCAATAATTCCTACTTTTATATTTTTATCATATTCACCCATTTTTGCATCTTTATCATTTTGCGGGTAAGCATTAAGTATACGTTCAAATTTCGTATTTACCTCCACCTTATTTCTATCGCTTAAATCTTGCATATTCACGTTTTCGTGGCAACTTAAATTACCAGAAAATCTTTGTAGAGTATCGATTAGTGGACGGGCTAAAACCCAATATTCATTCTGGATATTTGTAATATATTTAAGCACGTCCTCCAAACTTATATCATTAAACTGTTTGCCTGCTTTAAGAAAAGGAACCAATTTGGAATTCAGTCGGGAAGGGAACGCGAAATTGCCTGTTGGCGCGATATCCATAGGAGAACTCAAACCGCTGTCAGCTCCCGAAGACCTTCTTCTTCTTTCGGTTTCGAAATCGGAATCCGTAGCGGAGTCGTGATCTATTTGAAAAACCATTTCTCCTCCTTTAATAGTTCTTTTTGAAGGGGATTGACTGAGTTGTACAATGTTACCTTGGTTGTCAGGTATAAGTGGACGAGAAGGCTTGATATTTTGGGGAAGCAGTTCAAAGCTATCTAAGTCATCTTTCCCCTGCTTAGGTGCTAAGAGATGTTTGAGAGCGATTACCAATTCTCTAAAGGGTTTCATATCACGTCCATTCGTATCCAATAATAGTTTAACCTCGGAGAATAATAAATCGGCTTTCTCCGCTAACCCCTTTTCCCCTTCAAGGCGAGATTCGACCCACTTTATAGTGGGTTCGTAGTAAGTGTCCTTCAGGTTTTTGACTTTAGCTAAGGGATTGACTATCTCTTCGTAATTGGTTGAATCAGGTTTAGGTGAAGGGAGAGAAAGCTTCATATAATATTTTATATATAAATATACACTATATTAATCAATATTTAATTTTAATAAAATATATAACTATTTTCTAGAGCCGTTAGAATAACTAGTAGTTACCGGTATAAATGGTTACATTTTTGCGAAAAAATAACTGTAACTAATTACATTTTTTGGAATTTAACGCTCATTAATTATCTTTATATAGAGATTTCCCAAATTTACAATTATTATTTGCTAAACTAAAGCACTCCTGTAGAACGTTTAGTTTATCTAAGGATGCTTATTTTTAGAGAAAAATTAGCAGACCAAAATTTAAAATAGTTATATTATAAAAATTAAGCTCGAATTTTCATTAAAAATAAATATTAATTTTTTTTTCGGGGGATATATATATTATATTGTTATGATATTATAATGCAAATTATATAATAAATTTTCTTCGGTGTATATTTAAATTTGTAGTTTTTTAATTTAATTTTTCCTTGATTAAATTTTGTAAAAATCTAATATATAAAATAAATTACATTAAAAATGATGGTGTTATATAAAAGTAACTCGCAACAGTAATTAGTTACTTTTCAAATGTAACTTTTAGGCAAACCTACAATTTCCTTATTAACTAATTCTAGTACGATAAAATTGAAAATTAAATAAATCAAATTTTAGAAAATTGCGCTATTATTTATAATTTTCAATTTTTACAACAAAAAAAATTTACATAATTTTGGGATAATTAATAATTTTATGATATGAATATAGTTTTGACTTACGGCCAAACATTCCAATTCGTTGAATATTGGAATATAAGTGACAACATAATTTTCTAAAGCGGGTCTTAACCCGGCATTCAATTTATCGTTTAATGAATCGTAGTCAAATCCTTTGTCAATGTTAGAAAACTTTTGAGCTTCTTTGATTAAATCATTTTCCAATCTCGTCAGCTTCCCACCGTAGTTCTTTGTATTTTTAAGTGTCAGATCAAGTTTACTTTGCAAATTTTTGTAACGATTGGATATAGTTGCCACCTTGTCCCTAATAATGGTTATATCATGTTTGATCTCGGGAATCAGCCTTTCGCTTATAGAATTTATTTCTGTCGGAGTTTCGATAGAAACTTGCGAAACATTTGAAGAAGATTTAGGGTCTAAGGTTAGTTTGTCGTGATAATCTTGAAGACGAGACAAAGCGGGTGTATTCAAATATATTGAGTATATCTCGTCAACTCTGGTCTTCAAAGCTTCTAATTCCTTTAGGGGTGACTATGATTATTTAAGTATGGAAAAAATATTAGATCACTATAAGAAAAATATATTAACCTGCAATCTTTCTGAATCTATGGTTGGGTCGGGAATGTTGGATTGGTCTTCCAGATTATTCAAATTGTCATCGAACGTCTTCAATTTAAGAGTTATGTCCATTTTCTCCTTTTTGTATCCACCTAGAAGTTTGTCACTGAGAGAAGTTATCACATCTTGACCCTGTATTAGAATAAGTCGTTTTAAGTAATAATCAATTTGTCATTCTTTCCATCTATTCCACTTATGCAAATTATTTCAATTGTCTTAATATAGTTTATTACTTTTTGATAAAAAGCTTTAGCATCGTTAGTTATTCCATCGACTGCTTGGCGAAGGTTTTTAATATCTCCAGGCTTAGCACCACCATCCTCCAATTTTTTGTGTATTCCAATCAATAGGAGCTTGCTAGGTTCGAGTTCACAAATGATTTTCTTAAGATATTATAAATATATTATAGTTAAGGCATTTAGAATAACATTTTAAGTAAAAAAAAAGGTATATTTATAGTTTAATAAATTAATTAACAATCAATGGTATTTTAAAATTTTATTCTACTTTGTAAATGTCCAAGAAGGTGTTGAGTCGTGCTATATCCTCTTTCCCAAACTGGGGTTTATTGATCATCAGAGATTGGTAAAGGTTGGACAGCTTATTTTTAACGCCCAGATCCTGACAATTTTTGAGCGACTTTTCAATTTTTTTCAAATCCTTAGTTACATCATTCTCCAAATTATTCAACCGAGTTTGATGTCCAATAGTGTTTAATATTTTCTTTTCCACCTCTCCCAGCTTTCCTTTCATGCTAGTAATGTCGAGTTTTACGTTATCGAACATTTTAGTATTATGATCTAATACGCGATCGCAGGCGTGTTCCGAGTCGTCCATTAAGGTTTGATAAGAAATATTTTCTCGCTAAATTTCATTATTTTTTTTTTCACGGCAAAAAAAAAAGGTACATTAATTAAATATTTTTAATTAAATTTATAAATATAGTTAAACATGTCTAATTTAAGCACGTTTGCATCAAGATTTTAATTTTGCAAATTATAGATTTGACCTAATTAGAGAAGTTTTAGTGTATTTCCTTATAAATATTACATCTTTTAAAAACCTGAAGCTTAGGGAGTAAAGAAATCTTCTCTTTCGTAGATTTATCAGGATCTTCCAGTACTTTTTCTGCAGTGCCAATCCAATCCTCTATTTCCTGATTGTGAGAATAAAATTGTTCGAAAAATGAGATTATCGCATTTAGGTTGTCGTCTATTTTGGATAACTGCTCTAATTTTTGATTCAAAGTTTCTTTCACCCGATTAGCCCGTTGTTTCGCGTCGACATATTTGGCATCGAACTCTTGTTCCAACTCTTGGTTATAAACTTTGGCGTGATCTTTACCTTTCGATAATTGCCTTAATTTAATGTTGCTATCGTAAAAATCTTTTAATAAGATTTCATTTTGCTGGGTTATAGCGGAAACCCTAGGTTTAAGATCCGAAATAAGTGCTCCTAATCATATTTATAAAGAATATTATATTATATGAGAAATATACAAAAGGACAATTTAAAAAAATTATAAGATAGAATAAAAAGTTGTGATATTTTAATATAATGTTTTTATAATGATTTTTGGCATTTATTTTAAAAAATTTTTAATTTAGCTTGTAATCACGAGAATTAACTTGTTGGCAATAGATGTCTAATCTTTATGTTTTCTGTATTAATTTTTTTCAGCAAAAATTATTTAAAGATTGTTTTAGGGGATGGATTCTAACTCAATTCTCTCAATCACTTGTCGGCTGTTTAGCTTTGAATACTCAATATTATATTTTTATACATAATTTTTAGCATATGATTTAAATTAGTTCCCCTATAATTGGGAATGGGTTCTCTTTCATAGAATATGAACCTTCTAAGGGTTGAGAATAAATAAATATTTAAAAAATTATCCACATGTACAATTAAACCAGTCTTTAGCCCTATTCTATCAAAGTCTTTCTTGACCAAAATTTTGCTTTTTTAACTGGATTTTTTGTGTAAAACTTGAGAATTTAAGTTATATTCATAGCTTCGCAATAACTAGTATTTTTGTTTAAAATAAACCCATCGTTCAGTTCACGTCGCTCACACTATTCAAACCCTGTTACAATCCTGGAACACTATTTAATATTCAATCAAAAAGTAGTTTCAAACAAGAGAGAGAGCGAGTGCAGTTTTTTTTTTTAAAATTCCAAACAGGACTACTGTTTGTAAAAAAATTGAATATTATAGTAAAACCTATCTGATCTTTTATCTTGTGAATATCCTTAGGATCGGCGATTTTTTTGAAGTTCGTCTCAATTTCCTTTAATCCTATGGCGGTCGGTAATTTAGAATCACCCGATTCACCATCTGATATAAAATCGATTATCTGCTCCCCCATTTTAAGCGCTGACTGCAAGTTAGATAACTTTACATTTATATCTTTGATCCCTTCCAACTCATTCTTTAAGGCTGGAATGAGAGCATTCGATTGATCTCGAATTTCAACAAGAGATTGTGCTAAGGATAGATCTTGATCATTCGCTCCTTTAGGTAACAAAGCTTGAATTTTGTTGGCATTTTCGTGGAGGTGAATTACGTCTTTTAATTTTTTCTAAAATAAAAATTTGTTTCATTATTTTTATATATTAAAATATTCAAACGAAGATTTCAGGTGATATATAAAATAAAACAACGGAAATAAAACTCACATGCTATATCACAAAACGTGCACATGACTAAAAATAAAATTCTTAGAATATATTTGCAGTGTTGATAAAAACGGCGCTTTTAAAAGTTTCCACCACCTTTTTCTTTTTTAAAGAGGTGGTGCCCACTTTAGAAAACCTCCAATGTTCCTTTTTTATATTTAATTTTTAAGTATAATCAAATTATTTTGATAAAAATATAGTTAATTATGTATGACATTATACTCAATTTTAAAAAAACCAAATTTTTGATAAATTAGTCAATTTAAATTAAAAAGAGCGCAAGAGGAACATTCGTTGCAAAAGGTGGGTGTTAGAAACGGGACCTGGTTATCAAGAACTCGGTATATTTCTATATTTAATTAACAAAATTTTAAAATCTTACTAACCGCAGAGGCTGGCAATTCATTTTCTAAATCTCTTTCGTTCGTATGATCATTTTTAGGAGACATTAATGTTTTAGAAAGATGAATTAAACGTTTGATTTCTTGGCGAACGTTAGGATCATCGTTAACGGATCTTGGGGTTTTCAAAATATTCTTGAGTTTAATATTAATGTCCTGCAAGTTTACGTTTGAGAGATCGTTTAAATCCCGAGTAGCTTTCGAATAATCAATATTGCTAAATAGATTTTTAGTCCGCTCTTGATGATTTTGAATAATTTTTTCTTTATCAGACACCTGACTCTGATTGTGAAGTAGAATGCTAGTAGGTTCATAATTTTTATCATTAAAAGGTTCGGATTGTGTTTGATCGATATTTGGTTTAACATCATTTGGAAGATTATCAAGTTTATGAAATTTGATCGAATTTTTAACGCGATCATTATCGGAAGAGTCAATTTCAAAAACGAGGGGCTTCATGTTAGGTGTTTGTATATTATGAACTTTGTCAATATCGACTTCTAAATGTGGCATAAAGTGATCCGCCTTTTCTTTTATGGGATAGGTTTGATTTAAAGGCGAGGTAAATTTATCATCAGATTTTGATTTTTTATCGTTAAATTTGTCGTCTTCATCCAAGACAAGTCTAGATAAATCATCAAACATCTTGTTATGCTCACCTCTGACATCAGCATCAGATTGATTTGATTTATCTAAATGAGTATCTACAACATTTTTGGTTCCAGAATATATTCTAACCTGTAAGGGAGGAAAGCGATGAACAGCAATGTTAGGTGTACTTTTGTCTATAAACAAATCAGATTGTCTTAGATATTGCGATTCACGAGGTTTGATTTCGTGCTGGCTTTCATTGTCTAAATGAATTTTATCATTGTCGAGTTTGTGTGTTTGACGTTCATCTTTATAGGCTTTCTTATTTATAGTTTGGTGAGTACTATCTTTGTCATATGGCCCAAACTGAATTAAAATTTCTTTCTCAGCTTTAGATCTAGGAGTAGTTAAATTTTTGTGAGGATAATCTAAAATTGATTCATGTGATTTCATTGTTTTATCGTGAGATTTTTTGTGTTCATTGTCAAGTATAATTTTTTCGTGCCTTTGTGTAGCCTTGTCTTCTTTTTTCTTGTCTTTCGTATGGGTAAGATCGTAAGGCAATTGATTAATATTCTCGTACATGTAATTCTTTACATCTTTAATAGTATTTTTAGTCGTGCCATGTGTCGCTTTATCACTCAAATGCTTCGTTGGATCTGTTCCAGCCATATCAGTTGTTGGTGTCTCGGTTACTTCGTGCTTTATAACCTTAGTATTCCGATCATCCTTGATCAAGAGCAGAGACTCATCATCAAGTGTTATAGGAAAAGTATCATTATTATAGAAATCTGAGTCATAGACTTTATTAGGTTTGGTTAGTGAATTAAAGTGCTGTTGATGGTGATCATGGCGATTAGAACGTCCTTCGTAAACCTCAAAGGCATCAGATTGAAGTTCACCATGTGTATCGTTCATTCGATCGTGAGGATATTCGGAATAATTCGAATCTTTGAAATCCTGTTTAATGTCCTCAAGAACGAGATGTTTGGGCTCATTTGATTGGTAAATAGTAGCATTGGGTTTATTATAACTTTTAGCGTCTTTATGATGCTCCTCATTTATGTCTTTTTCCCTCATATTTAACTTTTCTTTTTTATTGATACTATAGTCAGGAAAATGGGCATGATGTTTTGCCTGATATAAAATATCTTTTGTTACTTTACTCAAATAATCAAATATTTTTTCATTTGATGGATCGTGATGTGAACCAAAGGTGGTTCTAGATTTGGCAGATTCTTTATTATAATTTTCAATATCAGCGGTATCTTTCAGTGATGTATTATTATTAACCAACTCTTTATGTTGTTGAGCCTTTTCATGCCTCTTGGTAGCTTTATCTTCTCTTTTCTTCTGTTTTACTTTTGGGAGATCATAAGGTAACTGATTAATATTCTCATAGGCATAATTTTTATTATCCTTATGCGCACCGTGTTTATGAGCATTGTGGAATGGTTCATTTTTGTTAGGTTTGGAATAACTAGATTCTTTCAAAGATATTTCAATTTCTTCTACTGTAGGCGTTTCAGGGATGTGAATTCTATTTTTAATTTTGGTGTTTCTATTGTCCTTGATCAGTAAAAGAGAATCGTAGGCTGGCAGTTGTTTGTCAACATTTTCGTTAAATTCGGGTTGTAAATGAGGCTGCTCCTGCTTGGAAAGTTCTTCGTAAACTTCATCGACCTGTTCGTCCATATGCAAGTCATCAGAATATTTATAAGCATGAAGGTGTCTGGGATCTCCTTCTATATGTAATGTGTTATATGCGGGATTCGTGGAATTTTGAGTTTTCTCGTATTTCAATTCAATGTCGTATTTTGATTTGGTATTAAATACTTTAGGTTTAATATCTTGAATTGAGTGTTTGAAAGCACCTAAGTTAAGGTCAATATGTTGATTGTTATTAATGTTATTAGGAGAATCATTTCGCTTTTTATGTTTAATATCAACAATCTCGTCTTCATTTTTTTTTGCATTTTCGTGCAGTATTTTTTTCTCACTTATCAAAGATTCTTTGAGTTCATCTTCAAGAATAGCTTTTTCATGCCTCTTTGTAGCTTTATCTGGCTTTTTCTTATCTTTTGCTTTGGGAATGTCATAAGATATCTGATAAATATTTTCGTGCACATAATCCTTATGGTGTTTAGAAACGGTGTGCGATAATTTGTTAGGCTCAGGATAACTAGATTTTTTCAATGATGTTTCAACTTCTTCGACTGTGAGAGTCTCGGGAATGTGATGTCTTTCAATCCTAGTATTTCTATCGTCCTTAGCCAATATAAAAGCATTGCCAATATTATTTAACGGAATAGTGGCATCTTCGTTAAATTCGGAGTAAGTTGTTTCAAGTTTAGATGAAGGTATTATATTGGATTGTAAATGAGGCTGTTGTTCAACATGTTTATAATACCTAAAGCGACCTTTGTCAGCTTGAAAACCATTTGATTGAAGTTCACCATTTTGATCGTTCGTTAGATAGTGAGTAGAATCATGTTTGGTGTCTTCGTGAAGGGGCTGTTTGGACTCAATTGATTGAAAAATAGTAGAGTTCGGTTCATTGGATTTTTTAGTGTTCCTATGATGCTCTTGATTTGGGGTTTTTTCCTTCATATGTAATTTTTCCTTTTTATTAATGCTATAGTCAGGAAAATGGGCATGATGTTGTGCTTGATATAAAATGTCTTTTGTTACCTTACCCAAATAATCAAATATTTTATCATCTGATTGATCGTGATGTGAACTGGCAGTGGTTTTCGATTTCGTAGACGATTTATTAAAACTTTCGATATCCGCGGGATCTTTAAATGGTGTATTGTTATTAACCAACTTTTTATGTTGTTGATCGTGAAGGATTGCTTTTTCATGCCTTTTGGTAGCTTTATCACCTTTTTTCTTATCTTTTACTTTGGGAAGATCATAAGGCACCTGATTAATATTCTCATAGACATAATTTATATGATCCTTATGCCCGCCGTGCTTTAAAGTTTCATGTAATGGTTCATTTTTGTTAGGTTTAGAATGTCTAGATTCTTCTTTCAAATATATTTCAATTTCTTCGACTGTAGGCGTTTCAGGGATGTGAATTCTATTTTCAATTTTGGTGTTTCTATTATCCTTTTCCAATAAAATAGAATCAGAATCGTTGGAAGATAGTTGATTGTTAACATTTTCGTTAAATTCGATGTTAAAGGTATTGGATTGTAAATGGGGCTGCTCTTGCTTGGAAAGCCTTTCGTTAACTTCATAGACTTGTCCGTTCTTAAGCAAATCGTCAGAGTATTCAGAAGCATGAAGGTTTCTCTGATCTCTTTTTATATGTAATGGGTTATATAAGAAATTCGTATAACTTTGAGTTTTATCATCTTTCTCTTTGACATATTTTGATTTGGTATTAGAGACCTCATGTTTAATATCTCCTAATGAGGCTTTGAAAGCACCTAAGTTAAGATCAAAATGTTGATTGTTATCAACGAAACCAAAAGAATCATTTCGTTTTTTATAATGTTTAATATCAACAATTTCGTCTTCAATCCTTTTGGCCTCTTCGTGCAGTATTTTATTCTTTTCGATTATCAAAGATTCTTTGAGTTCATCTTCATGAATAGCCTTTTCATGCCTCTTTGTAGCTTTATCTTGCCTATTCTTATCTTTAACTTTGGGAATGTCATATGGTATCTGATAAATGTTTTCGTGTACATAATCTTCATGGTCCTTGTGGTGTTTGGAAACGGTGTGTGATGGTTCTCCTTTGTTAGGATCGGGATAGCTACTTTTTTTCAGCGATGTCTCAACGTCCTCGACTGTAGGCGTCTCAGAAATGTGATGTTTTTCTATCTTAACATTTCTATTGTCCTTCCCTAATAGTAAATCGTCATTGGTAGGCTTAAGTGGCATGGCATCGATATTTTCTGGTATATCTTGGTTAATAATGTTTTCTGATACTTGATTGTGTAAATATATTGGTTTATTTTCATGATACTTATTGTCTAAATAAACTTCGAAGCTATCAGATAATATTTTTTCATTATGACTTTGTGGCACTCCGACCATTTTGTGGTCGGATTTATGACTCTCCAATATTTTTAATGTATCTTTTAAGCTAGATTCGTCTAAAAATGTTTTAATTTTGACTGGAAGGCTTGTATTTTCCTTTGATACATGGTCAATTTTATGAGATAAATGAGGAATCTTGGATTTTTTGCTGACTCTAACTGGTTTCGCATGGGCCGTGTTATCAAGAATGTTAGTGAGTGGAACATGTGATGTTTTATTGACTTTTTCGACCGTTGAATTTATATTAATAGGAGCTTTCTCGATATTATCAGCTACATTTTCGGTGTTCATTTTTCGGGTTTTATCGATGCTGGGAGTTTGTTTGATAGAGGAATAGTTAGGTATTTTAAAATTTTGAGCTCCATACTTTGAGGATCCTGGAACAATAATGGGTTCTTCTTCTGAGCTTGATACCACATCTTCGGAAGATATTACGTTATCGGGTAAACTGTGAATGTTTTCAGGAACTGTTTTTTGGTTCTTTTGAGAACGTTTTTTATTTCTTTGAGATTTTACTTTCTCTTTAGGAATAATGTTAGAATTTTGATCAAAGGTATCGATAACTTTCTCAGTCTTATTTTTACTAAAAGGATTAACAAACTGCAAGTGAAGATTTGCTTCCTTTTGATCATTACTCGATTTCGAATTTTTATTAAAACTAGAGGAATCGTGAAGCTTATTCAAGTCTTTATCAATTTCACTTTTGTTATATTGCTCCACTTTATAATCTGCATCATTGTAATCCAAATAATCGGTAAAATCGGAACCCACCGATTTCAAAATTCCGGATTCATTTTCCTTGTGAGCATGATGTCGATTATTAAAATGGTTTTTGTGTTTGTTCACCGAGGGTTTAAAATGCGTAGTTCTTTCGCCCATTTGGATGAAGGGAATTTTGGAGTCTTTAGGAGGCACGCCAATTTCGTCCCTCAAGTTAGGCCATATGTTTGATGCAATTAAGGTATCATTGTGAGTTTTATCGTAGGGCACTTGATGTCTTTTTACCATAACTCTATCGGGTATGAAATCGTCAATTTTATCCAGAGTTGGAGGTTGTTTAAACCCTTGAATTGAGATGTCCGGTTTGTCATCGTATTTGATCTTGTCATGAGATCTGGGCTGAATGAGGGTAGGTGCATGGTCTGGAGTTGTATGGTCAGGATGATATTGTTTCTCATTTGTAACGTGCGATATATTGTGATGCGGACCAGTTTTATCGTGTTCTTTTTCAGTGATCACGGGTATCTTTCTGTTCAATTTGTGATTTCTGTCATCCTTGTGCATTAGATCGACCGATTCATCGCCACCTTCATACGATAATGAATCAAGGGATGCGTCTTCGTTGTACGGAGAAATGTAATGGCGCCCTTTTTTATCATCCAACTGTTCTATTATAATGGACAACGGCATACCATCTAACTCAGGAGGAATAGGTTTGTTATCGTAATACAGTTCCTTATCAAGCTTAGGTAATGTATGGTCGGCATTCGTGTTAGTTAATAAAGTGGCATTGAAAGTGCTACTATCATTTGCTTCATTAACCGGAATATTCATGGTAACTTTTGAATGCGATTCTTTTTTATGCTCATCCGTAAATAATTTCTCATGAATTTGAGCTGAATTTGTTTTCTTTACGTCCTTATGAGGATGATCAGAATAAATAATTTTATCATTTTGTGGCATATTTTTCCCCCCATGCTTATCGGTTTGAAGTGATTGTGCGTCATTGTATGAGGTTGCAAGAGTTTCAGGATATTTTAAAGTAGAATATGACTCTATGTTATCTTCTGAATCATTTTCTTCCAATACATATATTTTTTGGGTGTCATCTAATTTGTATGTACTGGATTTTCGTCTGATTGTTTTGTCGAAAGAATTGTCAACTTTGTTTAGACCTTGATCGCCATATTTTATTTCCGTGTTAGAGACATTTGGTTTAATATTTTCGGTGGATTGTTTGAAAACACCTGATTTAAGATCAGGATGTTGATTGTCAACTTTTAAAATATCAGCTCGTTTTTCAGAATGCCTTATATTAACAAGCTCGTCTTCTGTGTTTTTTGCATTTTTAAATGGTGGATGCGTAATTTTACTCTTTTCAGCAATCAAAAATTTTTTGTCTTCATGTGAAGTCTTTTCATGTTCCTTCGAACCCCTATATTCTTTCTTTTTATCTTTTACTTTGGGAAGGTCATAAGATACCTGATTATTATTCTCATGCCCATCGTGTTTAGGGGCGTTGTGAGATGGTTCGCTTTTGTTAGGTTGTAGACAAGAACTTTTTTTCAATGATTTTTCAACTTCCTCAAGTGTGAGCGTGTTAGGAACGTGATGCTTAATAAACTTAACATTTCGATTGTCTCTGGTCAATATAACGTCAGTAGTAGTTTTTGGAATTGTAACTTCTTGTTTAAATTCGGAATGAGAAGGTTCAAGATGAGAAGATGGTGCATTTAATTGCCAATGAGGTTGCTCCTCGTACTGGTTATCAGTAGAACGTTCTTTATAAATACGAAAGCCTTTAGAAGATGTATTATTGCTAGTACTATGAGAAGATTTTCCTGTTATAACATTTCCTGTGTGTCTGTCTCTATTTGAAACATCGCGAGGAATTTCAGAAGATTGAGGATGTTTGAGATCATCATTTATTTTTATTGCAGAAACATTCACACTATGATTTTTATCGATTTCAGTGTTGGATAACCTGTGTTCATCAGTGAGTTGTTTCAAGGCATCTAATTTACGATCAAGATGTTGATTGTGCACAGTTTTACCCGAAGGGATTAGTTTTTCAGAATGTATAATATTAACAAACTCATCTTCAGTGTTTTTTTCAAATTTAGATGGTGCTTGCGAAATTTTACTCTTCTCAATACTCAAGGATTTTTTGTCTTCGTGTATAGCTTTTCCATGTTTCTTCGTAGATTTAAGTTCTTTTTTCTTATCATTAACTTTGAGAGGGTCATAAGGTACCTGATTAATGTTCTCGTGTGCATAACTTTTGTGATCCTCATGTCCATCGTGTTTTGCGGCGTTGTGAAATGGTTCACCTTTGTTTAGTTGTGGATTAATATTTTTCTTCAATGATTTATCAACTTTTTCGATTGTGGGCGTTTTAGAAATATGATGCTTTTTTAACTTAGCATTTCGATTATCTTTAGTCAGTATAAAGTCAGTAGTAGTTATTGGAATAGTAACATCTTGTTTATTTTCTAAATCAGAAGGACCAAGATGAGAAGATGGTGCATTTAATTGCCAATGAGGTTGCTCTTCCTTTCCTAACATCAATTTTTTTTTATTTTCAAGTATAGAATTTTCATGTTCCTTGATAGCTTTATCTTCTGTTTTGTAAAGGGCATAAGGTACCTGATTAATATTCTTGTCTATATCATTTTTATGATCTCTATGTACATCATGTTTAAAGGTCTTGTGATATAGTTCACTTTTGTTAGGTTCTGGATAGCTTATATTTAATATTTCAACTTCCTCAAATTTGGGTGTCTCAGGAATGTAATGCTTTTCTATCTCAACATTTCGATTATCTTCTATTAATGGTAAATCATCACTCATAGACTTAAGTGGCATGACATCTATATTTACTCTTTTTTGGAAGAGCTCTTCTGTATATTTTATCTTATGAATCGGAGAAGGTTGGTCAAAAGCTGATGGCTCAATAATTTCCTAAGAATTAGGCAAAGAAATATATATTTAGGAAATTATTAGAAATTCGCTAATTTTAAGAATATATATTATTATTCCTTCCTTGTTGGGTATTTTAACAAGTAACTAATTTTATAAAATTATATATTACAAAAAACTAGTAATTCAAAAATCACTGCATTAAATCAGTTTAATAAATAGGAGGCAAAAAAGACACAGCAAAACCCATGCATCAAGCAGCATTCAACAGTATTCATTAAAAATATTTGTACCTTTTCTGGAGATCCTAGCATAACATCTAAGACTCCATTTCCCGCTTGACCTGTAGTAAAGGAGTCCTCAATTTTCTTATTTTTCTGATCAATATCACTATCTTTATGAGTATTATTATTAGTTTGTTTAATCTCTCCATAAGTGGCTTCTTTCGTTTTTTGGTCTGACTGTGTGTCTTTAACGTCTGGTTCTAGGCTCAATGGGCGATCTTCTTTGGGTTGTTTGTGAATAAGATCGGAAACGGTGTTCTTCGATTGGTTGATTAAGCCAGCAGAGAGGAGTATATTGTTTAATACATTATCCTCTTTTTTTAAAGTACCGCCTAACTCAAGTCGGGACTTATTATCAATCTGAGTATCGATTGGTTTTTCTACCAAATCGTTTTTAATATGATCTATATTAGAGTCACCTTTATCGGCTATTGAAATATCAGGGTGAGCCATTTCAGCGCTATGTTCCTTCCTTTGTTTTGATTTGTCCTTTACCACTATATTATCTTCATTTTGAGTCTTATGGGACATGGGTTCTATGTTTTCTCGTTTATCTTGGTTAATAATTTTTCCGAACTCTTGATTAAGCTGAGCTGAGTGAGGCAATATATGACTTGTAAGGTTTTCAGAATAATTATCAATTGATTTGTAATCTCTAATTACTTCATTATCGCCATCATTAATTATTTGATTCGGACTTTTGATTACCGAATCCGCATTTTTAACATTGTAATTTGTAATAGGGTGATGGTGGTCATCAACTTGTTCAACTTTACTAACGTCTATACGAGGTTGACTCTCCTCACCAGGACTAGTATCCGAATAAATCTGGTTAGGTGGTATATCATCGTTACTTGGTTTTATAGATTTGGTCGAGATCGCCTCATCAACCCCCCTTTTACCCTTATCGACATTATCGAGTTTTTTAATCTTAATGTCATTTTCTATAATTGGCTGATTATATTTTATATTTTCGAAATTAACATCGTCATGGTCAACTGATTCGACTTCGACATCTTCTTTACCTTTAATATCTTTTGTCTCAACTAAAGACACGACTTTATAATCTGGACCCGATTCCAATCCTAATCGTTTTTTTCTTTTATCTTCATCAACATTCAAAGGGCTAGAATTTTCAAAATTAATCGTCAAATTTTTATCGCCATCCTCGGGTATCACATCTTCAAGTGGCGTAGGGTCTTGTTCCTCATTCGTATAGGTTCCATAATCTGTCATTATTGACTCTTTTGGAATTTTATTAACATCTTCCTGAGGTTCTGTAGAAACAGGGTTATGCGTTTCGCCATATTGATAGTAATAGATACCAAATGGATCTGCTTTATTTTTAGACTCTTCTTCCGATCCCCTAAGAATAGAAGAAGGTTTGTTAAACGCTGCCTGCTCAATCGATTCCTATAGGCAAAGAAATAAATATTAAGAAAATCATTAAATCTTAAAGATATTTATTGTCATCCTCCCTTGTTAGGTTTTATTAAAGTAACTAATCCAATAAAACTTAAATATTTAAAAAAAGTAATTCAAAAATCAGAGTCTAAATAAAAAGAGGTGTAAAAACACATGCATAAAGCAACCTTCAGCAGTAATCTTTAAAATATTTGTACCTGTTCCGGAGATCCTTGTCTATCATCTAAAACTGTTTTTCCCTTTTGATCTGAAGTTAGGGAGTCTTTGACTTTCTTGTTTTGCTTATCCATATGCCTATCATTTTGTGTATCATTGGTTTTTTCAATCTCTCCAGTAGTGGTTTCTCTCATTTCTTGGTCTGGCTGTGTGTCTTTAAACCCTGGTTCAAGGCTTATTGGGCGATCTTCTTTAGGTTGTTTGTGTATAAGATCTGAAACAGTTTTCTTTGATTCGTTGATTAAGCCAGCAGAGAGAAGTATATTGTTTAATACATTATCCTCTTTCTTCAAAGTACCGCCTAACTCGACTCTGGACTTATCATCAATAGAAGTATCGATCGGTTTGCCTATCAAATCCTTTTTAATGCCATCTATATTCGAGTCGCTTTTATCGGTTATTAAAATATTAGAGTCAGCTATTTCAGCATCAGGTTCTTTCTTTTGTTTTAATATATCATCTAGGGATTTTACTTCATCCTCATTTTTATCAATTCCTAAGTCTGAGCTAACTGTAGGCGTATCATGAACGTGATTCTTTTCTATCTTAACATTTCTATTGACTTCTGCCAGGATTATATTATCGTCATTTTGACTCCTAAGTGATATGTTATCTATACTTTTTTGTATACCTCCTTGGTTAATAATTTTTCCGGAGTCTTGATTAAGCTGAGCTGAATGAGGCAATATATGACTTGTAAGGTTTTCAGAATAATTATCAATTGATTTGTAATCTCTGATTACTCCATTATCGCCATCATTAATTATTTGATTCGGACTTTTGATTAGCGAATCCGCTTTTTTAACATTGTAATTTGTAATAGGGTAATGATCGTCATCAACTTGTTCAACTTTACTAACGTCTATACGAGGTTGACTCTCCTCACCAGGACTAGTCTCCGAATAAATCTGGTTAGGTGGAATATCATCGTTGCTTGGTTTTATAGATTTGGTCGAGATCGCCTCATCAACCCCCCTTTTACCCTTATCGACATTATCGAGTTTTTTAATCTTACTGTCATTTTCTATAATTGGCTGATTATATTTTATATTTTCGAAATTAACATCGTCATGGTCAACTGATTCGACTTCGAGATCTTCTTTACCTTTAATATCTTTTGTCTCAACTAAATACACGACTTTATAATCTGGACCCGATTCCAATCCTAATCGTTTTTTTCTTTTATCTTCATCAACACTCAAAGGGCTAGAATTTTCAAAATTAATCGTCAAATTTTTATCGCCATCCTCGGGTATCACATCTTCAAGTGGCACCGGCTCTTGTTCCTCATTCGTATAGGTTCCATAATCTGTCATTATTGTTTCTTCTGGAATTTTATTAACATCTTCCTTAAGTTCTGTAGAAACAGGGTTATGCGTTTCGCCATATTGATGATAGTAGATAACAAATGGGTCCTCTTTCGTGACGTTTGGCTCTTCTTCCGATTTCATATTAAGAATTGGAGAAGGTTGGTCAAGATTTGATTGCTCGATAATTCCCTAAGGATGCAAAAAAAATTTTTAGATAAATTATTGCAAATTTGCTAAAGCTTAATAAGCCTATTTAATATTAGTCAATAATCCCTTCATTGTTAGGTATTATAATAAGTAAATAATCTAATAATTTTAAAAAAACTGTTCAAAAAATTCTCATTATGAGTCAATAAATAGGTGACCAAAAAAAACCAAAACGCATGCACCAAACAGCATTAGCCGTATATTTTTTAAAAATATATACTGTTTCCGGAGATCCTTGTATACCCTCTAAAACTGGTTTTCCCGCTTGACTGAGAGTAGAGCCCTCAGATTTCTTGTGTTGCTCATCAATAGGACTATCATTTTGAATATTATCGGTTTGTTTAGGTTCTCGCGAAGTGGGCTCTCCCATTTCTGGATATGATTGATTGCCTTTAAAGTCGGGTTCTTTACTTGTTGAGCGATCTTCTTTGGGTTGTTTGTGTAAAGGATCAGAAACAACCTCCTTTGACGGGTAATTGATTAAGCCAGCAGAGTGGAGTATGGTGTTTAATGCATTATCCTCTTTCTTCAAAGTACCCCCTGACTCGACTCGGGAAATATCGATCGGTTTACCTGCCAAATCCTTTTTAATATGATCTTTATTCGAGTCTTCTTCTTCGGTCATTAAAATATTAGGTGTTATCTTGGCTTCGAGTTCTTTCTTTTCTTTCAATACGCCCCTGTCTCGGAATTTCTCCTTATCAACGACGGGTTTTTGGTTATCCTGATTCATTTTATTCTCTATAGGTTGGCCCAGAAAAACATCGTTTTTAATAGATATTTCCTTAGGTAGTTTAATTATTGCATCGTCAGTTTTTGGGCCATGTAATTTGGTTGAAGGCTTGAATATATTTTGATCACTGCTGATATTGGGTAGAGGCAACTGTCTCCCTTTTTCGTCAACGAGCGGCGCTTTATAAATATCCAAGCCTGTGTGATTTTGTGCAACGTTGGTCTTGGGAAGGTTATCAAAGGCCAAGTTTTTATCGAGTCCTACGATAGGCGATACACTTATTGAGACATTTTCTCGGAGTTTATTAGCGTCAGAATTTACAACTAGTGGCAATGTTTCCTTGAGGCATAAAAGATTGCTTACACTATTATTAATATTTGAAGAATTTTGGGGTTGATTGTCGACTTTAAGGCCATGAACAGTCATATGTTCTTTATTGTTGAGAAGAATTTTCTTTTCATTGTTTAAATTCTTGGTCAAAATATCGGCGTTTACTAGATCAGTAGGAGATATAGATGGCTCGGGTTTTTTTACGACAATTTCTTCGATATTTTTGGCATACTTACGTCCGTTGTGATCATGCTTCAATTCTATATTGATTGGCATTTCGGTTTGAAAAGTAGGTGTAGCTTCCTTCTGAAATATTCGTGTATTGGGTTTTATTTGTTCAATTTTATCCAAATCCTCCTGTGTAGCTCCTGCCCAAACTCTAATATCAGGTAAAAATAATTGTTCGTATTCTTTAGAACTCTTTACGTTGGGTGCGTTCGTAAACTCGTGTGTCATGCTCGTAAATTTTTCGATTGTATCGGCAGTTTTAGCCTTCATGTTGAAGTTAGAATTCAGTGATAAAGATGGTTTGTCATCTTGGATCGGTTTGTCACTCTAATATATGTTTAAAAAATGTATATATTGTATAAATTAAATATAGTAAATGTATAAATAAATATATAAATTTGTAAAACATCGATAACTATTTATTTTTTTACGTGAGGAAGTTCGAAAGTAGATATTTTATCAGTCGATAGTTGAGTAATCGGATGTAAAGCATCAGGCTTATCGAGTTTAGCTTTAGAAACGATGGATTCATTAGATGGTAGTTGTGTTGTTTGTGAAGGTAACGTCTGGTTTTCCTTTAAGCGCTTTTGAGAATTCAGCTCAACCACGTTGGAATGCACATCACCTATGTCCGAAAATTTAACGGAAAAATCAGCTCTCTTCAAGATTTTAGTAGCGTCTTTATTTTTATCATCATCATTAAGGTCTTCCACAGGAACTTTTTTTTTGACTTGATCACGGAATTCCATCTTACTCAACTTATCAAATCGGGGCTCATCATCCAATCCAATTTTATCAGTATTTTCCCTATGGATAATAGATATATTCGTATCTAATCTATTGGGTGTAGTTTGTGCTTGAGGCGTATTTTGGATGGATCTAACTTTGAGATCCGATAGATCGAATGTCGGTAGGTCAATTTTAACACGTTTGTGAACGTTAACATTGACTTCTTCGTTACCTATTTCGTGTTGAGATTGAGAAATCATAGGTGAGTTTAATGGAATTTTATCGAAATTTCCTTGTAACAGCGGACTTTCTTGTTCGGTATTATGACGCGAAAATCCGCTACTCGTTGAAGAAATACTTCTCAGTTCGAGATAATTATTTTCCAATGCATTCAAAAAGTCGCCTAACTCCAGCAAATTGTTGTTGAGAACCTGGAAATGACGTCTATCTATCGCGGATATAGGATCCGGCACGATGGACGAGTAAGTTCCGCCATTTATTATCATGTCTAACTCCTCCAATTTTACAATCAGATCCCCCAATTTGTGCTTCTGATTCCTTATCTCGCTTAACTGGTGATCTTGTTTTGATTCATTAGTTGAACCTTTAGACAGCCCCGTTTGCTTCAGGGTTTCGAGCAGTTTATTGACTTGAATCCCCATAGCTTTAGAGCGATCGTTTATAATGGTAAGAAGAGACAAATATTTTTCCCGCTCGGAGTGCGCCGATTGGAGAGAACGACCAAATTTTTCGATCAGTTCTTTGGTCATGTGCCATAGATCTGTTTTTTCTGTCAACAATTTGTCTAAGCTAACAGGTATGGAATTCAATTGAAAGGTTTTGTCATGGGAGTTTAAGGTTTCAAAAATAGATGATTTTCCTAGGATTATAGATAAGGAGTTTGGAATAAAAGTTTGGTTGAACAGGTCTATATCTTTCAAATTTTGCAAATATCGGGGAGAATTAACTAGTGTTGCTATCTCATTTTTGGTTGTATTCATTTTACTCAAGTCTTCGTCGATAAGTTGGGTCGTCGATGGAGGGAAGGATGTCTGAAAAAAATATTTTTAAATTTAAAAGAATCTAGCATATATATTGATAAATAAATATAGTAAAAGAATTTCAAATTGAGCATCAATGTGACAAAATGGCAAATAAAATTTAAGGTATAAAAAACATGGTTATAAACCACTGGATTATAAATTGTATAAATGGTAATTTTTTTTTAAAAAAAGGATCACTTTGTATCTTTCCAAAATGGACGATATTTCAAATTTTCCGGATTGAAAGCTCTCCTGCTCATAATTCAACTCATACCTAAACTTTTGGAGAATTTTATCCAATCGATCTTCGTGAACTTTGAAGCTGTTAACCAAAGTTATCAATATAATTTCGAATTTGCAAAGCTATATTATTAATTTTTTTTTAAACATATCATTATTTACAAATAGTATCTAATGAAAGCAAAAAATGTATAAGCGAGTTTTAAAAAATATCGAGTATGAATAAACAAAAACATAAAGAGTAACATTATAAAAGAATGTCTTATACCTCCCAATCACGTTCGATTTTATCAGTTTTATGTTTAATTGCACTTTTTTGGTGGTCAGATGGTAAGATGAATATCAAATTTCGGCTATTGCTTTCCAAATCCGTCAGAATATTATCGTCTAATTTAATCGTAAATTTCTAAAAAAAAACATAAATTAAGCTATAATATAAGGTTTTATTCTAAAATGGCGAATTCAGATTCTCGGTACTTAAATTACTAATTACTACCCTTCACGTTTAAATTTAATTTTAATAATCCTAAAATATTTTTTCTGCAAACTTTTAAAAGTAGCGATAAAGATACTTATTTTTAATTTTAATAAATTTGGAAGTTGGGTGTATTATCATGTAATACCTTAAGGTTAACGTGACTTTCTTTTAAATTGGATGCTAAGATTTCTTTGACTTGCGCTATGTACTTGTACACGCATTCGCAATCGAAATAGTAATGAGCCAAAAGAGGAATCATTTGCTTCAGCGAATCATTGTATTCGTTAGACTTCTTAACATTTTTCTAGAAATAATTTTTATCAACAAAATATTTTATATTTTGGCCAGGCTTCCTTTAAAATAGGTTCCTTTAGTTAAAACACCTCATTTTCCTTCTAATATAAAATTAATACACAGAACAATTATATATATGCCATCCCAAAAAAAAATTCTTGTTCCTCCTAAAATTGTTTATACTATTGGAGCAAGCAAGCATTCTCGCAGACGCGTTAAAGGATGACTCACTTTATTAGTTTCATTTTAAGGCCATTTAAATATGTTAAAATTAAGGGGACTATATCTTGAGGAAAATTATTTAAATTGTTTTATTCTTTGTAAAAAATTAATGCATAAAATAATAAGCCATCTCACGTCATATATATCGTGCATGGCCTGCAGCCGGTCTTTCATGTACGTAAAATCAACTTCATTGTGAGGGTATATCACGTTGCTATTATTGTAGAGTTCCGTGCATTGATTCAAAAAGTCTCCATATGGTAAGGCTACTGTATGGATCATATCCTTGTATGAATCCGCCAACTCTTGTAGGTCTTGAGGATCGGTATCAGCTAGATTTTCTATATTCATAAAATACGACCATTTTTTCAATTTTTCGTCTATATCTTTGGCTCGGGATAATGGCAGTTGTTCGAAGATTTTAATATTGGATCGAAGAAGATTTGTCTAAAAATATGTTTCCACAAATGAGTAATAATTAAAATAAATTTTAAAATTATTATTAAATAAATTTTGTAAGTAAAATAAAAAATATATTTTTAAATTCAATTATATAAAATTAATTAGCTAATAATTTACAATCTAATTTACTTTATTATCTATAAGAGATCTTAAATCGGCGTTCTCGGGTTTATTGATTTTGTTTTTCAATTCTTGGAGTTTCGTCAGGGATTCTTTTTGAAATTCCTGTAAATAATTATAATTTCATCATATTTTTTAACATCATCAATTTTTCCTTCTCTTCCTTTTCTTTCTTTCCTTCTTAGGTTAACTTTTAATTAAATTTATTAAAATGTATTTTAAAAAAAAATTAAATTTAATCTATAGTTATTCTATGACTATCTTCTATAGGTAAATTCTTATACCTGAATCAATAACAAATATTGGCTAAGATCGGGCGCTGATGAACCGATTTTAAATTTGTCCAAATGTGGCACTACAAGACTATCGTACAGCGATTTGAAAACCTTTTTATTTATAAAATCTTCTGGATCCTCATGTAAATTGTCATCAGGATTTTTCAAGACAGGTTTAAAAACTACTCTTTCGTTTATTTTGGTGATTAATACCTTATTATTTTTTAATACAAAGATTTATAAGATTTTTGGGGTGTTCAAGTTTTAAATTAACTCTAGCAAAAAAAGTTATCTATCATTTTATTTAAAAGTTTAAGTAAAATAATTCCCGGTTTATCAAGCCTGTTAACTAAGTTTACTAATTATGGCGCTTCTTCATAAATTATAAGAGAAGATTTTTTCATACTTTGCTATGACATAATTCAAATAGAAATATTTAAATTGTTTCTTTTTAAATTTGACACCAATTCAAAATATTTGTCAGTTATTTCAAAATATTATGCGTTTATAGTTACAATAGAAAACTAATAAAAAATATATAGTATGTTTCATTCAAAAATAAAATTTTTGTAGCGTGATTTGAACTACCATGTTGCCTTATTATTCCGACAAATTTACCATTTACATTATAAAGTTCAAAGATTATAAGGGAATCTTACAACTCAAAATAAAATATTGTACATAATTACACTAATATAATAATAACTATAAAAGCGTAACAGGCAGACCTCTTTATCCTTAAGGCTCTCTTCAAATTTTTTGCTGCTTTGGCCCTTAATACTGATTTCTTGGCCTGTCCCTGGATCGATGTAGGTATCAGTGTAATTTCGTGTGTCATCAGCTGTAACAGTGCCTAATAACTTGGTAGATTCGGATTTCTCCTCCCAATACTAAGGAGCGGGAATAATTTGATAAATGAGTTTAATTTTATTTAAATAAAAAAATTGATAAAATATTAATTATTATATCTCAAACATTTGCCCATTCTCTAATACAGATTCATTAAGGGATTATACTCGACCATATGAATTTAAGATGTATTTTCCGTCCAAAAAAATGAGACCCTACTTATTTCTAAACAGGATAAACTCTTGTCTAATTTTTCCAAAAAGAAAAGTTTGCCAAAGATCCTCAAAAACAAACTTAAAAGTATATATAAAAATATAAACACTTTTTAAAAAAAATGTTTGCTGAGAAGTAAAAAAATTGTACTTTATCTTCCATATCTCTATACTTTTCGAAAGCTTTCTTCAAATTTATCCATCTACCCATAATATCGTTAAAGTTGGAGTGTAGGCGAGGAGAAGATTTTTTAGAGCAATTGGAGGTTAAAATACTACCATATCTGTCCAGTCCATCGAATAGAAATTCGTGCGATTTGATATCGCTTAATTTTATGGGCTGTAAAGGTTGGTTATTAAAGAGAAAATAAGATATCATATTTTTAAGAAAATTTTATTAAAGGATATCTTAAATATGCATATATTAGTGATGCGAAATTATTAATTATAATTGTATTGTAATATTAGATGATAGATCTGTCAGCATATTGGACATTCATTAAATAAATAAAATTTAAAATGAAAATCTAAGAATAATCTTAAAAACTGTTTATTAAACACCAATGAAAAATAATGACAAAATTTTAATTGCATGTAAAACTTAAGTTATAATATATCCATCATTAAATAAAAAATCCTTTATTAAGATTAAAATATCAACTTCGTTGGAATTGTTAATGTTGTTGAGCCATTGGCCAGCCAGCTTAGAATCCCTTTTGTAGACGTCCCATGCATCATTGATAATTTGAATATCGTCTATAGAATGCTCCATAACTACGATATCTTCCGACCACAGCGGATCTGTATAGTTCGAACTATTAAGAAGAATTTGGTCATGATCCTTGACTTCAGATGTTTTTATTAAATTTAGATATTACTTTAACCGAATTATTGAATGAATCATTAAAAAGAATCAATCGAATAGACGCCTAGGAAGTAGCGGAATCAGAGGCAACGACTTATAAATTTCTATGAGGGGATGGGGAGAGTTAAATTATACGTTTAAAATATTAATAAGGTCAATATTATCTATTTTTTAGAATATTGGGCACGAGTCCCGCTGCCCCCGTGAAGTAAGTAACTATGAACAGGATGGTATCAGATTAGACCGAATTATCCATGACCTAATTCACCATTTTTAAAAAAAACCCTAGCTTAAATATTTAAAAGAAAAATCATTGTAAATCAAGCTACCTAGCGATTTAAGATTTTTAAGAAGGGCGTTCAAATTATCGTTGAGATTAGTGTCGGGCTCAATTATATCGGTTGAGGAGTTCTTAGAAAACGAACCTATACCCATACTCCTATCAAGCACCTTATTGAAGACATTCAACGTTGCTTTGACCTTTGCCACAATGAGTAAATATTGGTATATGTGAGACAATTTCTTGAAATCTATTCTTATAATTGATTCTGCGTCAGTTATCGCGAAATCGTCGTTAGAAAGATTGTGTGAAGTAGCCAGCTTGTTGAGAAATGAAAAGCTTCCGGCAGGCGATTTCAAATGTGGTTCCTTAAATGCGAATAATTAAAAAAAATATATATAATGTGAATCTTTTAAATGTGGATTTTGGATTTCTCCAATGATTTCATCTGATTTTTGAAAATATTTATCTTAAAATTATATGATTAATGCCGCATTCATGGTGGGTTCCGATCCTACGTGATTTAATAGCTGACAGATTTTTAAACTGTTTATGAGATAATTCTTTCTTTATTAATATTAATGATATCTTTAATTCTATTCATGATTTTATTTATTCAAATCAAGTTTTATAAAATAACATTGAAATTTTATGTCCTAAAAATTTAAATTAATCATTAGAAAGTCTGTTTTTTTTTCAATGAAATTTGAGATTAAACTATTGTTAAATCTATATTAGTTGACTTTAAAAAATACTTTATAAAATAATATTTAATATTTTTCCCAATTCATTCTAATTAAAAAATATTTTTTAAACAATGTTTATTTTAATTTATTTTAACTAATATTTTATTTTTTATATAACTGTTTGTATTAAACTACCATCAAAATATTGATGTTTATTTAAATAAGGACAAATTATATTATTATATTATATTTAATAAAATTTAGCAATTAATTAAGGGTTGACAAGTCGGCCAATTGACCGAAGGAGTATTTGACTTGGTCAAATATGGTCAAATACTCTAAAAAAATATGAAGAAATATGTTTGAAAAAAAGAAGAGATCATATAAACAACACAAGTGATTTGACTGCTTATTTATTGGATCCCTTTAGGAGTATCTAACTAATTTTTATTAAAGCTTGTGGTATAATATAAAAATTGGATATTTTACAGGTCGTGATGATCAAAATATTTCAAGTGATACCATAAATTTCAGAAGTAAAAGGGGTTTATTTTATAACAGAATATGTGGAAAGCAGTAACTTACATAATAAACAATCGGATTTAGGCCCCAAGTTAGTGGAATGGGGTTTACCCACCATGCCTGTCCATTAAGAGAAGTGACATTTTATTAACAATTCCTAGTTCAATTTTTTTTTTCAGAAAGAAATTGATAAATTTGAGATTATTGTTAGGCAAATTTAAATTTCACATTTAAAAAAAAACATAAGAAGGGATGACGAGGTTAAGGGTAGGATATGTTTCTTACGAGCGTAGCGAAAGTAATTAATATATTGTATATGATTTATAAACATGTTACCATTATTAGCTGCTTGCATTATAAATAAATAAATTTTAACCTTTAATTTATTGATCGCTGATAGATATTCTTGCTTTTTTATAATATCTTTGTCGATAGAAAGATTTTCCGTTGATCTGTATGAGGTGAGAGTGGGTCCGTCCCTTGAATATTTATCTTTCGTCATTACGTCTAGAATAAAAAATTGTATCATAATTTGGATTTTATAAACATTTGCATTTCTAAATTTCTTGAATTGTTTATATTGGTTATAATATAAGCTACAGTGCAAAATATTGCAGTCGTAATTTTTCTTTCTTTCTTCCTCATTCTTTTAGCCAAATGATATAATCATAAATAAAATATTTTCCTTTAGTTTATCGTTTTATTTTTATTCATCTCAAAAAAAAAGAAGATATTGTTAAAATAAAAATGTGTATAAATTTGCTCTCTCTATATATTATAAATATATATATATATATTACTAACATAAATCGTAAATATCCTTAAATAAGACTTCGTTTAGCTTTTTGGTTATCTTAGTCTTAATGTCGTCCAAACTCATCCAATGTTTTTCTATGTTGTTCCATATCTCATCACCTATTTGCTTGCTGTCCGTGGTATCACGATCATAAATATCTCTCATTTTATCGTTTAAAAATGAATTTTGGGTCAATACTTTAGACCATATGAGAAATTCCTGATAGTTTGTTTTTTTCGGATATGAGTGAAAAGATTTTGATATATTTTATTTATATTATTTTTTTTTCTGAAACATATTTTTTTAAGATTAATTATTTTTTGTAAATTTTTTTTTAATAGTTACCATTCGTTAAATAAACTAAAAAAATATATAAAGTATATTCATAATAATCATGTGCTTCAAAATTTAATACCTGTTGAGCTAAATAAGGGATAGATGAATCAACTTGATTCACGATATTGCATATGCCCTTTTTCAAATTGGCTATCAACTTACCAAGATCATTTGGAGACACATCTCTTTTCTTGTTTTCGCCAAGGGGAGACTAATTAATAGTTGGAATATAATAATGTAAATATTGTTGCTATTTTATAATAAAGAGAATTTATTTGATAAATATAAATCAAATCAACATTGTAATAAGTATGGTCCCACAAACCTATCTGACGATTTAAAATAAATAAATAATGGAAAATCTTATATTTATATTTTTTTGTAGTAAAAAAAAACTTGAAGAGCTGATGTGTCCGAGTTTATATATCCTTGGAAAAAATGAATCAGAAAATGAACCAATGCACTTTCGTCATATCTTTCTTTGAGCAAATCTAAAATATTGAAATATAAATTCATTTGTAATCTAAGCAGGAAAGACCGGGACAAAAGGGTACCAGGGTAAAACGACACTCGCTTATAACTTTTTTAATGCTATGACATAAAAGGTTGATTTAGGATATAAATCATTCATTTATTTTTCATTTCCATTCTCGAGATTTTTACGATAGATATTATTTTGGATAATTATATTTTGTGGCTTTTTTTGAAATGTCTAGGCAATTACTGTCCAAGGGTATTGTAGCAGAAGAGTTATTTAAGTAAACTTATAAAGGCCTAGGTAGAGCTACAATATGCAAAAAGGGTTAAAACGGGAAAATGGTTAATTTAATTTATTTGACGATTTAGCCCACTATTTTATTTTTACATGAAAAATTGTTTATTTCTCTTTTTTTGTTAAAGTTATGAAAAGTTTATTAATTATATTTTTGATATTTAGGACATCGTCTAAATAAATGTATTAATATTTAGAGATGACATAATAACTCACAAGATAACATCTAATATGCTAGATAATAGTATATCATTGTCTATGCATACTTTCATGTTTGAAGCGAATTAACTTAGTATAAATTTGATTAATAAACCAATAACTAGGGAATTAAAAATCCATATATTTATTTTGTAGGCGAGGTGGCTAACGAATTGCAATAATAATTTTGAATTGGGAAATATAACATTTTTACAACTAAAACAACTAATGCCGTTTAGCCCAGGTCAAAACCATAGACAATGAAACTAGTTTTTAAAACTTCCATAATGAATTATAAGCATAAGTTGTTCCTTTTAGTAAACACCAAATGATTTGCGATGGTTAAACCGATTAAAATTAACGATGAAAATAGAATCATTTTGAAGAGAAATGATAAAAACTTGATTAATATGCATTAAATATAATAAAATATCCGTCTATTCAAAAAAAAAAATATATGTATATACCAAAATTGATGAGAGAAATCCCTAGTCTTCGGCCCACCATATCATAAACCCATTGGGCTCTCTCCAAATCCACTTTTTGATTCTTAATGAATGGGCCTAAGGGGGCCGAAAATTGAAGACCCAGTTTTGATAAATTTTCGGATGATTTGGTGAGCATGATTTTATCTTTATTAATCTCCTCATCCCGTATATCTTTCGTTGAAGAACCTAAATGAGATGTAATAGAACATGATTTCTTGAGTTCTTCTTCGATAAAATTTATCAAGTTGGATAGAAGTAAAATTTCCTCTTGTCGACTGCGAGAAAAATTATAGGCGTCTACGTCTATCATGCTGTGAATTGTAATTTATCATTTAAATTGTTAGCGTAGGGCAAAATAAAAAAAATTAAAAAATGTTTCTTTTTTAAATTGCATGGTTTCATGATAATTAACATATAATAAAAATGTAACAATTCCAACTGGTTATAGTGTAAGCAAGATTAATATAATTGTGATATATCTTATAAGCTGTTACAGAGAATGTGAGGTAAAATTGCAATCAAAAAAAATGCTTTTCATAATCAACTCGAAATTTTAAATTTTGAAATTTTCTAAATTTTGAGATTATAAAAAATAATTGGCAAAAAGAATATTTTAAAAAATAAAATTCACTACTTCTTATACTTAATAAAGGCGAATTTTTTTCCAGCACATATGTGATTAATAAAATAAATAATTTATTAAATAAAATTCATTTTTTTTAAGAAAAAAAAGAAACTTGCAATATTTTAAGCACCAATCTTGAAGGACTTGTTTAGGAAAACCCAATGAAAAATTTTTTAGGGGGAAATCGGGAATTTGAGACGCTATTGGTTGGTTACTATTGTTTTCGCTAGTGTTTCGCATTTTATTATAAAAATCTCGTTTTACCAATAATTCTTCCCACACTTTGGGTTCCTTTATTTTTATCTGTTATTTATTCCAAGAAAAAAAATAAAATAGAAATCACAAAAAAATTATTATCAACTGACTTCAAAAATCAAAATGATATTCCACAATAAGCTGAGAATGACGTCATGGTTCCCCTTGAAAATGTCGTAGGCCTGGACTTTGCCCAAATTAACCTTTTAAAATATTATTGTAAAATAGCGATTATGGTGACATTTTTATGATAATATAATTTACAAAAGAAAGATGTTAAAAGGAAAAATCACAAATAAAATATATAGTACGCCATTTTTTTCCAAGACTCGTATAGCCAATTCTATGTTATCGATGTATTCCATGATTTTAAGATAATTTCCGGTAGCATACTGCAGTTTTTGTCCCGTCAATTTTTCGATCAAAGCGAGAATAACCTCCCCAGAGCGAAGGTCTTTAAAAATATCCGTAACTACATATTGAGGAGTGTGCTAAAATAGGGATGTAATTGGTAAAATTATTTGATATTTTTATTCATTTATTACTTTTTTTTGCCTACAATACAAATGAGCTAGTAACTTACAGATATTATCATGATCTTTATAAAACACCTGTATATATAAATGAGATGGGTTGAGACTTCCATGATCCAACCCTAACCGGAAATATATTATATATACTTGGGCCTGGCCAAGTATAAAATATATTAAAATAATTTCAATTAACCTTGAAAAAAACATGTGATGGGCTATTTAAGCATTCACTCGTTCTCGTATAGACGGTTGAAGGTAGAAACCTTCAGGGTTATATTTTAACCACTTACATAATAAAGGAATATTTATTTTTTAAAATAAAAAGAAGATTACGATAACAATAGATCAGCAATTTGTATATTTTGTTAATATGATAGAGAAAAGATTAAAGGATCATTTTAAATCTTGATTTGCTTTCGATAAAAATCTATTTTATAAATAAATAATAGAGGATTTAACTTACCACCGATACAATTAAATACAATTATTTTTTATATTTAAACAAAATTGTTTTTGGTTTGTCCTAATTATTCAATCAAGGCCAGTAAGTTACGACGATTTAGCGGCGTCATACAAAATTTATTTTTTTTAACATAAAAAACTGTGTCTAAGTAGGTTAGAGACCTGGAACTCCGGGGCGGGACAAATAATTGCCACCCGTATCCGATCCGGATTTATACCTAAAACGAATTTATGATTTTATTTTAGGAATACAAACTACAATTATTTGATTCAAAAATACAAATCGAATTCGAATAATGCAAATATTCTATTCGATTCATATTTTTTCTAGATATACGGATCGAGATTTTTTTAAAAAATCTAAAAACAACTTCTTGAACGCCATAATATAAGGAAGATGGTTGGGTTAAAATGTTAGACACATGGGAGTTGTGGTTATTTTTTCATTAAAAATTTAATATTTGGTCGTTAACATTCCTAAATGGCGTTCCATACCAGCTGTTAGAAATGTAGCGCTTAAAAAACTATTTATTCCTAATTCACTAATTTTAAGAATACGATTGGTGTAAAAATTTACTATTGGAGGGGTTGGGGGAGTTAAAATGTGACGGGGTATGGAGTAATTATTTATTATTAGCCATTTAAGCAAATTTTTTAGCCGAAAGCTATCATTTTAGCTTTTGATTTTTTCCTAAAAAGATAGCAGATCAAATTTGAAAGAAGCTAATATAAATTAAGGCGCCTTATTAACGAATTTTCTCCGGAAGGTGCCTAAAGATTGAGCCGAATTAGCCGATATTTAGCCATTACCCACTTATTATTATGGGTAGGTTTTATTATACCTGAGCAGTGGCGTAGGTGAGAGAGTTCGGATTTGAACCCTCCTCCCCCTCATGAAAAAAATGAACAATTTTTTTTAAAATTTACTAAATTGATAATATAAATGCTTTAAATTAAAAAAAATATATATATATATTTATGTTTTTAATTTATAAATAATAATTTTGATCAACAGGATTTGATTATTTATATATTTTTTAAATAAATTTTAAATTATATTGCAAAAACTTGTACAGTTTGCTTTTTAAAAAAATTAACTTTGTCAATTTCATTATGAAGAAACAACCAATAATTTATTTCTTTCAACAAATATTAAGCACAGATATGCACAAGTCCATTAGACTACCTTTTTGCCGCTATTAAATAAAAAAGTTTCAAAGCTACAACCATATCAAGTTTTATATTTTAAAAAGATGATAGGATTTTTATAATGAATAATTTTATTAAATTACTTTGTGCTAGAATATTCACTATCTTATTTAATTAAACAAAGGGTTGAAGTAGTAAATAAGTATGAATATGCACTAATTATTTACATAAATTTCCAAGATAATTTTAGATGATTGGCTAATTTGATGCTTAAGACGTGATATCTTAGTTTTTGGTTCATATTTCGGTTACTTTTTTAATGTTGCGAAATTGTTACTTAAGACATGATATCTTAGTTTTTGGTTCATATTTCGGTTACTTTTTTAATGGCTTGCGAAATTGATTAAAAAATTGATAAGGCACTAAATGCAAACCAGATAGATTCTCTGTTCTGGTATGATGATAATTTTGAAATTTTTTACCAATAATCCTTGTCCTCTTTAAACCAACTACTAAAGAAAATGGTTTAGCATAAATTTTAGAATTTGTGATTCCAAAAAGCTCGACTCACCACGTTTAGAGCTTGATGTCATAGTTCACATTTAGTTTAAAATTCAGTTTATTTTCGTGGTTCTCATATTTGAAAGAAGAATTCAAAGTACTAGTCAGGTTAAATATTAGCGTAAGCCAGGTAATATTTTTTATATTTTTCATTTTAGCCCGATATTATTTTGACAATTTTCTTTTTTCTATTTACTATCTATCAAACGGAAATTAGTATACAATTATGATCTTGAAATTGATAAAATTTACTCTTGAGGTTGGCCAAAATCTTGTATTAATAATTTTATCCTTTATACTGGCTACTATAAAGGTTGAAGTCAGACACTAATAAATCACAAAACATTGCAATATTTTAGGATTAGGGTTTGTTTTAGCGAAGCCCCCATTAGAAAATCCTGGCTAAGCTATTGTACCGGGCCCATTTTCATTAGGGTTTAATATATAATATATAATAATTATTCTTATTCACTTACATCCTTTAAAACTATGTTGATCCAATTCGTGAAAGCCTTCTTCTCCAACGATCCGAGAATATCTATAATTTTAATTTTAAAAGAAAATATTAATTAATTTTGTTAAGTTAGTATTATTGATAATTAAGTATATTGAGGGAAAAAATAATCTTGATCAATATTATAACTAACCTAATTTTTCAATAAAGTTCTGTTTGGGGTATTTTTTGCTTATTGCCGAGATTATATGTCTGTTTCAACTATAGTTCCTTTTTTTCTTATTCATTTAATTTTTCTGTTATAGATGACATTTTATAATTGATTTTCTTTACATTTCATCCTCTATCCTATCTTTTTAAAAAATTTGTTGAGACATTTTTAACTGATTACAGGGTAATTGCTGTTAAAATCAAATTATATTTATTAACACTTCTGGCAATTTTGTATAATTATATTAAACCTTTTAAAACAATCTATCTAACCTTTACTCATTCAATTTTTCTGTTTTCGTTGATTTTTTACAATCAATCTCCCTTACTACCAGGCTGTATCCTCTCCTTGTGTAGTGCTTTGTTACTCCCGTAACCACATTTTATATCAATTTTAAACAAACTCATTTTATTAATCTAAATAAAGTGAATGAATTAATAGATATCCATTGATAAAATGACATATTACATAATTACTACATTGAAATTTAAAAAATGTATCCCTACTAGACCTATGTGCAGAAGCGTCAACTGACATGAGCCGACGGCCCACAAGTCTAATCCCTCCCCCCTGTTATTTGGTATTTACTTATTAATTAGGATTAGGAGGTGGTTATTGTATTATAAATAAATTTTTTTAAAAAAGGGTTAATGAAAATTTGGTTGAATAATTCGAAATTTCGTTTGAATTAAAAAAAAAATATTCAAACAAATTTACTTTTTGAAAAAAATTGTTGAATTTTAGTCAATTGGGATAATTTGGAGCCTCGAATAACAGGAAGATTAGGTTATTTTAAAATTGTAACCAAAAAATAATCATTTTTGAAAAAAAGATTAAAATTTTTCGAATAGAATATTAGACTTAACGCATAGTAATTTTATACAATTAGTAGTAATTTGTTCGAATTCGTATGATTTCGTGTAATAAACTATAGTACCCTGTACAGACCAATCCGATTGAGCTCGGACATCTCAGACTCGGTTCGAAAATTTTTATGAAAGGATCGGAAATCGAAAAAATAGGTCTGATACATGACAAATTCGGAAAAAAAGATATACCTTATTAGACACATTTATTTATTTTAATTTTTTATTTTTAAAAAAAAGATGATAACTTAATTAGGGCATTTAATAAATTAATTTTTTTTTTAAAAAGTGATTATTAATTATAATATCAAAATAGGACCCAGCTTTTGCCAAAAAAAATAATTTTTTTTTGATAGATTTGATTATCCGTAAATATAATTTATTTATTTATTTTTATTTCAAGGTCGCTAATATTATAAAATCGATATACAAAATAAATACTATATTTTTAAAGCGTTAAAAAAGGGAAGATATTGAATATTGTTAAAATAATGAACCTGCTTTATTTAGGCTCCCTTTTGGACCAATGCCCAAAGTTTTTTAAAATATATATTACTAAGTTATTTTTTTAAACGTAAAAAATATAATTCACATACCTCAATTTTAGAGAAAAAAAATCATTTCCCTTCCCATTTTGACACTTGTCGGGCTAAAAAAAAAAATTTGCTGACAGGGCCGAAAATATATTTTCCTCGGTATATATAGTAAACATTTCTTTCTTCTTTTTTTTTTCATTCACTAATTTCTAACACGATAAAAAGCTTTCAAATAATTCTATATTATGATAAATCTAAGATTATAAATGCTTATTATCAATAATTTGCAATCTATTAAACTTTTATTTATAAAAATATTACAATTTCCTAAATAAAAAAAAAGTCTGTAATTCGGTTACGATGATTATTTGACATTGCTTAAAAAATGATAATCTATCATCGCACATTGGTTGATGGAAGATAATTTTGAATAGTTTCATTATCCGAAGAAGTGCGTTCTTATTGCGTACGTTTCATCAATTGGGAAAGATAACTAAAGATGCACGCTTTACTGATTTTAAAAATGTTGTATCGTTGCAATAATTCAATAATTGCAAAATTTTGATTTATTTGCAATTAGATTGTGGGTGTTAATTTCTATTACGTTTTTCCACAATTCGCACTTGGCCCTTTCCTGAAAATTGTTTGCAATTATAAAAATTAAACAATTTTGACTTTTTTTCTAATCCAGCAGTGTCATGCCATCCTTAAAAATTCTTGGTACAGCTGTAAAATTTAAATAATTTTTTTTAAATATTTTCACGGATTTCGTATCTAGAGATAAAAATAGATTGTCGAAATAAAGAAGGATCTCCTTATAATATTAATTACTCTTCTTCAGAAGAAGACAGATAATTCAAGATGGGCACGTTGTTTTCCTTCCTATCAAAATATTCAAGATTTTTCATCTAGAATATTTTTTAAGTGCTTGATGCCATTTTGCCTCGGGATCTATAAGTTATGGCAGGCCCGAAAATTAAATCATGTTAAATATAAGCAAAAAAATGGACGTGATTATGATATGACGTCGGCCTTTGCCTTGTCTATGAAATTTAATTATTATAATTAACCTAATAAAAACATAATATCATATACAAACGGTATATCAAATTTCCCAAGAAGTAAATACCCTCTTACCCCTATTTAGTTTAATGTATAGTCAGTTCCTTATCCTCCCCACCCCCTCATTTATTTCATTAAAATGTTTTCAAATTTTAAGTAAATTTTGAATAAAACCATTATAATCAGGAGCCTAGGGGCAGTGCTAATATTCGGCCGGAGCGGGCTGTTAAATGGTGGTTTTCAAAACCCGCGAAAGGCCTATCAAATAAATCAGAAAACTCGGGTTGCATGGTTACCATTCACTTATCTCGACTATTTTAAGTCAGTCCTTCCGGCCAATAAGTCACTTTTTGTTTTCATTGTATTTGCACATAGACCCAATCTATCCCGACCCGTAGAAATTGTAAGATTTAAAAAAAATCTGGACTGAATCGGGCTTAAAAAACGAATTGTAAACCCGGACTGGGCTTAAAATAAATAAAAATTCGAAAACCGGCAATTATAAAACCGGGGACCGGATTCAATCATTTAAAATTAAATGAAAACATTTTCTATGAATCGGATTGGATAATTTTACATCTGTATTTAGAATTGACCCTTGAAACAATTAACGGAATAGAGACAAATTTGAAAATGATAAAAATTATAAAAATGGAGGACATTTATATTTATAAACTAGGAAAGTTTTTAAAAAAATTTAACCTGGTAAAGAGGGTCTCGAATTTTTTTTTTCCACTAAAATTTAAACAAATAATATAACATTTTATATTAAAATTTAAAATATTTTAGTAATGGTGGGTGAGAATAGGATGATTAGGCTTTAAAATTCATTAAAAAATTAATTAACTTAGTGTTTGGGATTGGCAAAGCGTTTTTAGTTATTTTTTGCAAATCTCTACTGAATTTAGTTTTGTTTTAAAAATATAATTAAAAAATAAATTATATATTTATTTATTTATTTTTAATAATGATCTTTGGGTAGAGTATAGAAAATAAATTATTTATTAGTATATAAAAAAATGATTATGTAAATGAATGGATTAAAATTAGATAAAAGAATATATATTTATATAATCAGCCTTGCTGGGGAATAAAATCAATATAAAAAAAATAAATAAGTGATTCTAACTAATGATTAGCAATTTGAAAAAAAAAATAATAGTACAAGTGAGAAAAAAGTTTAAGATACAAAATAAGGAAATTAATAAAAAAAATAATCTTTGGTTTATAATTAATTACTAAGAAAATTTTATGGTCAGAGATGTTATTAGATGATCATCTGATCAAGATCTCTAACTATTTCCCTATCGTTTATGTTTAAAAAATTGAATTGTCAATTTGCGTTTGTTTATAACAATATAAATATTTAAAGATTACCAAAATTATAAAACACTATGCTTTGTTGAGTGGCTTCTACACCCCTCCTCCGTCATTGATAAAAAAATTTATACCCCCCCCCCCCTTCTTTAAAAAAAAAATCAAAATTGGCAAATAAACTCCTTAAGACGAAAGAGCTAAAATTAACCACAACTCTTGGAATAAAGTTTAAAAAATTTGCCTTAAAGACTTAGCTGACAATTCTACGTCTTATCCCCCCTCTCCCCGGTGGTAGAAGATGAACTGTTTGTTATAATATAAAATACCAATATTGGCTTAAGAGGCGTAGAAGTCCCTGATGTAAAGTTATACAAGTTAACCAGAATCCCAGTTCATTCTTAAAAATTCGGTAATCCAATTAATATTTTTTAGGCTTAAAAAAAATTCTAAAAAATTTCAATTTTTTAAAATTAAAATAAAAAGTATAATTAAAATTTCTCTAGTATTTAATAACGCGTAATAATTGAAAGCGAAATAGTAATGTTAAATTAAATACCACTTCAAACGCTTTTTTGCAAAAGGCAACGTTAAATGCTATTGCTAAATTTGAGAGCATACTATAAATTTATATTTTTCTTAATCGGGCCCAAAAATAAAAATTCAGACCTGACCGGGCCATGCTCAGGCCTAAAATTGAAATTTTTAATATTAAGTTCAATAACGTTGACTGTTCAAATCAGAGTTTAAAACGGAAAATCAAGCCTAAATCCCTCATTTAAAATTTATAGGAACCAGAAAAATTTACAAGAACCGGTTGGTTCTAACAAAAGTGTGATCAAATTTTTAATTGTTCAAAATGTTGCAATTCATTTTTAGAGGCCGTGTCAACACTCGGCATATTTCTAGACAGTTGTCTGTTTAGCCGTCTATATAGTTTGCTCTTTAAAATTTTCCACATATTTGTATCGAAAAATATTTAAATAACAAGTATAATATTTATTTAAGTCTGTGTCCTAAATATTAAAAAAAACTACTCAAAAGTTTCAAGAATTGAATAACTATCATTTGAGAGATAAGGAACATGTCCGTAATCTTCTATTAAATTTTCAAAAAGTTGTTAAATTTTCTACTAAAAATATTCAATTTTAAGTAGCTAATGTGTCTGATATTTTCCATGTAAACATATTCATTTGTCATTTTTCAAACAAAATTTCACAAACTATACTATTTTAATGATAAAATAGTTAACGATTTGTAAAACTTTTAAGAATCACAAAACATGCGAATTAGAAAAAAACGTTTAGACCAATATTTTAATTTATGTACCAACTTAAAACAATCCAGAATATGATGTCATTCATAACTCAATGGCTATAAACTGAAATAAGTTTCGAAAATAATCCGAGGGTTGATACGGCTAAATCGCAAACCTCAGAAACGTGTTTAAATTTTGAAACCGGAAATATTTAAAAAATAATTTGGAACCGGAACTGGATTCGTCGAGTTTCCAACTCTGGCTTAAATCAAATTTTTTGGAGAAAATCGAATTATCGATTTTAAAGCGACGATACCGCCGCTAAAGTAATAGTGCTGCTCAGCGCGTTTAAGTCTAACATTTACGCCTAAAATATTTTATATTAAAGGAAATTTTGTGTACGCGTGCTCCCCAAATGATTAGCTGAATTTTAAAAAAATGTTATATCAATATAATGATCTGCATTAGACCAAATTTTCCAAGCCTGACCCGATCTCGAACGTTATTTGTCCAGAAAAAAAAATTCATTGTCCGCCCGGCTCAGCCAAATTTATATAAATTAATTTTTTTTAATATAATTATACATTTTTACATTGAACATAGAGTATAAATATTGAGCCTTATTTTTTTTATAAAAATTTTAAAATTTATCTCTTGTTGTATTTCGAAAATTAAATCCGACATGACCCGGCTCAAATTTTTTATATTAGGTCCGACCCAGCCCGAACCGTATTTTTTAAAATAGGCCGGTGTTTGGGCCGGGCTTACTTTGCATTTCTAAACATCAATAACAAGGTTAATAATTAAAATTCTATTTTACCTTGTAATAATTTGTATAACCTATAGCATCTCGAATATTTCATTCAAAACTTAAATAAAACTGGGGAAATTCAACGTTGGCCAAGGCGAATATTTATAAATCAAATTAAAATTTGTTGATAAATATTTTACTAATTATACTATACTATTTTTTAATTTTTAAGACAAATAAAATAAATAAGGTGTTACTAAAACAAAAAAAAGTTGTTAAATATTTGCGTATATTTTGAATATTTGCCCATATATTATAAATTTGCTATTATTATAACAAAATAAAAAGTATTTATGATGAAAGGAATAACTTCGCAATCAAGAAAAGAAAATCATGGTTATTAATTGAATAATGGAGAGAAAAATGAACTATAATAATATACTTTCATGCCTCGAAGTTATTAATTTTTATCAATATCAAATTTCCAATTTTATTATATTTTTTAAACATTCATCATCATGATGAAAATCTTAATTCTTTCATTAATGAGATGAGATGAGATGAGATGAGATGTTATAATTATTAATTTTAAAAAATAACAATTTAGCTCAATCGGGTATGGATTATTATAGCCTCAAGTTGGGTGTAATTTTTATTTGTTTTTTTTTTATCGGCATACTTAGGTAAAAAATAATAATCAAGATTTTAAAAGTATTTCTACAAAATTATTGATATTTTGGCTCTTTTTTATAATTTATGAAGCAAAACCTCGAGAATCGGATAATGGGGTTAAATTTTTTTAATTATATAGTAAATTAATTTAATGATACATTATTTAACTAACCTTACCTTTTTTTTCTCGTTATTTATAAAAAATGTGGTTTAAAATAATATGAAATAAAAAAAATTTTTTTTTTACCTGATTCTTCATCAGCCATATAATATTGATTGGATATTTTTTATAAATTTTTCTATTTAATAAAAAATATTTAATATAAATTTATAAGAAAATCAAATCAAAGCATAAAATATAAAATATTGCATAATAAAAAAAAATGTTAATAAAATAATAACAACAAAACGTGAATCATATCCAATTATTTTATTTATTTATTTTATTTTATACCGCCATATATTTTATTTTTTCAAAATAATATCTTTTTTTGCAATGATTAATGTCTCGTAAAAGAATAGGTATTTTTTATTAAAAAAAATTTAACTTCTCAAGATTAATTATGAAAGGTGGCAAAGCCATCATCAAGGTCAATTCTTATGAATTTTTTTTTAATTTTTCCTTATTTTGGATGGAAAATCATATTTCTTATTTGCCAAAAAAAAATAGGAGACAATACCATTCCTTATTCTAACACTCTTATCCTATATTTTTCCATGATTAAATATTGGTTTTTTTAATGAGAGTGTTTACCTAGAGAACTGATTTATAAATTTCTTTCTAAAAAAAATGATTTAAATTGTATCATATCAATATTAAATTGCAGTTAGAAAATCCCTTTGACTTTGAAAGTATTCACTAAACAATAGAGAAAGTCCGGGTTATATAAGATAATTATAATTAAAAAATTGGGATAATCGACATTGGGGATTATAATTTTTAAAATCTATATCCCAACAGGGCTCATTCGAAATCTAAAGCTCATTATGTCGTTGGTCTAGATTTAGAGTGCTCCACTCGACATTTCCAAAATTTTTGAGTTAGAAGTGGATAAAAACTTATAAAAATATGATTGAAAAATATTAATTTTTGCCAAAATTATAGCTATATCAAAATTCATCAGTAAGCTTTTCCTATATTTGATTTTAAACTTTAATGTTGATTTTCTCATTTTAAACATCCAATTCTAGGTCGACAATTCAATAAGCGATATGGAATTTTTTTTTTATATATTTAGGATGCAATTATATTATAAATTACTAGCAATTAAAATAATTTTTGTCTTTCACTCTTCTGGACAAATTCCAAAATGTCAAATAAGAAGGTTAACGGTGAAGTCGACCATATAATTATAAAATAAATTTATTTTTTTTAAATTATAAAATTCAAATTGGTCAATTGGTATGGTGATGTCATAAGAAATCCAATTATCCATGGTTTCGTGTGATCTCAAAAATATTATATTGTATTATATACAAATCAATGAAGAAACAGATGCAAAAATTGGTTATTTTTTTTAGAAAAAATAAAATAAAAACCAATTAATCAAAATAATAAAGAACTTGTGCCTGGCTTTTGCTTTATTTTTTTCTCCGCAACGAAATACACGATTTTTTAAATCAAATAAATATTTGCCTGTTATAAAATAATAATTTTTATTAAATTATTTGTACAGTATTGTAAAATCTACAAACTCAACCTAATCTGCAGGTTTATACCAAATATAATTGGCTAAGCATTGGGGCATAGAGTATAATTATTTATGCTTATTTCAAAGTTTAGCTATATTTAAGAAAATCCGTAGACTGACTGAGGTGATAGTTCTAGGCTGAGAACTAAACTTAATCATTTTTACTCGACTAAAAAATGGCCTTAAACGGCAATCGAGCAGTTACCCAACTATCAGACCTATTATCAAATAATAGGTTAGATTGGTTTGCAAACTATGGAGATACCTAAAATATTTTTGGCTTACAAAGGATTAGTATTAATCATCAAAAATGTGTTAAAATCCATATTATTATTTTACAGGATATAAATGTTTTTAGGGAACATAAACCGAAATAAATAAGGTAAAACATAAATGTTGCTATATGAAAAATATGTGGTCATGAGGGTCATAATGAACAAAATTTTTTTTATAATAAAAATAAAATCTCAGAAAATATAAAAATTATAAAACATAATTAGGTAAAATGCAATAGGTATGGATGGATACAGGGGTCACTTCAGAGTAAATGTAGAAATTTTTATGAGAAATTTCTACTTAGGAATTACACACTCATAAAGCCATCCATTAGAGCCTTTAAGAAAATAACCTCTACATCAGATACCGGTGTAGGACATGAATAGTGAAGGTAACCATCAATTTCCATAGTCAATGACTATAAGATCCTAAGAATCATACAGAGGTCGAGAGACCATTAAATAATTATACCAATTATATTTTCAATAATAAATTTTATGATTTTAACGAATATAAGAGGAACTATGAAATACTGTTTAAGGGAGAAATCAATATATAAGAGGGTAAATTTCAAAAATAATGCTAATATAAATAAAAGATGTTATAAATTTGGAAATTTTCCAAAATATCTGTTAACTTTGATATTAGTTAGGGATGAAAACACAAATAAGAGATGTTGGTACAATGACAATTATTTAAAAAATTCATATTAATTTAACGGTTAAGGATTTTGACGTGAATAAACCCTATCTATATGATGACAACTTTCAAAATTATCAGGTATAATGATAAAGGAATTGATTAGCAAGGAACGCAATATTATCACTAATAGAGCAAATGATAAATCTTCAAAAATTTTAAAGGAAGATATTTCCAAAGAAATAAAATTGCAATAAACACAAAGTACCTAGTAAAGATAATATCTTGGATCTCAGGGCAATGTGAATATTATTCCACAGTATAGGGAGAATATAATAAACGAAAAAAAGCCAAAGGATAAATTTTCTGATTTCAAATATCGCCATAAAAATATGTAGATACAAAAAATCGGGTGCAAACATAACGTCTGGTGAAGATGAAGGAAAATGTGTGATCTATAAAATGCACAAACACCCTAATAAATTAATCCTTCAATTTAGCATTAAAGAAAAATATTAAATTAAAGGGAGGTAGTATACCAAAAATTGGGCTTATTATATTATGCAAAATGAAATGGATATACGAATGCTCTCTAAAAGATTTATATGGCTACCTCAAGTGGGTGGACAAGATGCCATTAGAAAGATTGTAATTATATAAATATAATTTATGTAAAGAATAGGATAAATGTCCTTATATCATTCTTAACAAAGATGAAAATGCCCTAAATACATTTATACTGGGATATATAACAATAAATATATCTAGTGTAAAATTTTTAAATCAGTAAATGATAGTGGTTAACTTCTCTAAGAAAAATATATGATAGTTTTTTTAGATTTCGTAACTATAGACGATAAATTTAACTCTAAGAATCAATTTCTTTATTTTTCATATCAAATCCAATATTATTATAATAATCAATATATTTTATATTTTTTACAATCAATAAAAAAAAACATCTGATTGACATTTTTTTAAATATAATACTATATATCTAAATAAATATTTTATTATTTACAACAGTTTAGTGGTGCAAATATGAATTTAAAATAAAGCACACTAATAATAAAATTGAAGGAATCTTATCTTAATAAACCATATGTTTATATTTGGGAATGATTAAGTACGGGCAATTAAGTCATAGCTTATTTATGGTAATTTGATTATAGAAACATGATGGGCGACTCAAACAAGGCGTACGTATGGGAATTATGATGTGCAGCAAGACGATAAGAAACAAGGCTGGCAATCAATTATGCAGAACGTACTTACGATTATTTTTTTATTATTATGTCATTTGCGCTGTTTGGCGTGTTGTATTTGCTTAATTAAAATATATAAATTTCACTCATAATAATAATGTAAATTTTATTCACAATTCTTTCAAATGGAAGGATGAACCTGGAACTGGAATTTGTTGTCATGGATTTTATTTATTTTTCCTAATTAATTTTAAAAGAAAGGGGGAAAAAATTTATTTCTTTCACCCAGGTTTTTCGGGATATTTTATATACATAAATAATGACTAACAATTTACGAGATTTCTATGTTATTCTTTTGTTTTAATCTTTGACTTAGTTCCATTATTATTTCCGTTGAATGAAATTTTAATGGATTATTATCGGTAATATATTGTATTGGAAATTGAATTCGCAAAATTATTATACTTAGTATAAGATAAAAAATTATATGATCGTATATAATAAATACTCTTGAACTTGATAAATAATTAACTAATTTCAGGAAAATATTTTTTGACTATTTATTATTCATTTTTATAACATAAAATAACTTTATATATTTTCGGTCATTTAAATCTTTTCTCCCAGCAAGATTTAAGCGATTTTAAAAAAACTTATTGAAATATATTCTATTTATTGAGATCATATCAATTTACTTTACAATTAACATATTATTAATATCTATATATATAATATCTGAATATAATATATCTCTTATATTATATCTATATATATAATATCTATATATAAAATATCTATATATAATATATAACTTTCATAGATTCAATGTCAATATTACGATCTTTAACCTTTGTAGATCACTGAAAATAATTTATTATTCCATAAATTTTCTAAGCACAAATCGTAAAAATTATAAAAAATCTTTGCGAAATAAAAATATACTTCTTTTTTAAAAATAAGAGTATATGTATTTCTCTTAATTCTTTCTATAAATAAAAAAATCCTTCAGAAAAAATAAACAAAAAGAAATTAACCCAAAAAAGAGATAATTTTAAATAAATAATATAATATACAACACGCGCCCTTTTTTTAAAAACCAAACTAAGGCAAAGTAATACAATTTACCCTCAAATATATATTCCAATATACACATTTTCTTTGTAAAATTCTTTTGGTCTTCTTCCCATAATCTTCCGCTTACGATAGCTGTCACATGTGTTCTTCGTATCTTTTCTTAACAGTTAGCTGAACATGGCGTCCTTAATAGTAGGTATTAAGGGTCGTGCCATTAATCTTTTCCCTCTTTAAAGCTTGTAAGTTACCCCACCATTGATCATACGCACAATAATGGATTATAGCAATTTTGGCCATTAGATGTGATGTTTAAATAAAATTGTCGGTGGTTTTTCCTCTTAATAGTCTGCTAACACGTCATAATGGCTAGCTTGATAGGTTATGTTATTTCTGTTTGTTTAATATCCTTAATGTATCATCCTCATAATTGCTTAGACAATAGATTATTAGAATAATGTCCCATATTAGGAATAATAATTCCAAATTAACAATTTTTGA